ATCAATGGTATGAAACATCTTGAATTAAATTCCAAAAAAAAAAAAACATCTTGAACTTATTCTAAACTTTCTTGTTTATTAAATATTTTGTAAAACTCACATTTAGTTAAACCATCATATACTTTCCATATATGCATGTCAAAAAAAATAATTACTAAAGAATGTAAAAATAATTATATATATACTGTAAAAATTCTTTTACCTGTACAGATGGGTTCTTGCTGAGCTCATAAGCACAGGAAAGACCAGCAGAGCCAGCGCCGACGACGACGACATCGGTATCCGCGTAGGTGATCATGTCCGTCATGTACCGGCGAGTCATTTCACGCGAAACAATCGATTCTTTAATGGGATCAAATTTGAATGAGTTGAGATCATACGGTGGAGTTGAAGCAGACAAGGAGATGGCCTTGTTTTGGGGTGTTGAATTGATGGGTTGCAGACGATATGAGGACGAAATGGGAACCCCATGGAAAGACGATTGGTGGGTTTCTAAGAAAGAAGTCTTGGGCTTTGAAGGGAGAGAAGTTAGGGTTGTGGCCATGGTCGCCATTTGTGTTTAGCTTCTGATTTCTCGCAAGATTTGAGAGAGGCTAGAGAAGAAGGCGGATGTGAGTATGAATGTACACACACGGTGTGTGTATATATATATATATAAAAATATCTGCAAATGGAGAAAATATCGAAGCACCACAATGGACACGTGTGAACAGGAAGGGTCTTGAATTTGTTTGGGTTCCAAGTACTAGAAGGAGTCTAAGAATTTATTACTATATTTTATAAAGCACATTAACTATAATGATTTTTCTTTTTAGACTAATAGTGCAACAAATCAATAAAATAAGGTAATAAAATATTGTGTTATTATTGTAAAAGAAAATATTATAAAATAAATCACAAATATAAAATATAAATATTAAATTCATAAGCTCTACCTTAGTTTGTATCTCTATTCTACCATACTCCTAACAAGGTAAAAAAAAAAAATGTTATAATAGTTCTTTCTTCCCATATTAAGATTATAAGTTGTCCTTTTGTTCCTTTCTTGGATTGTCTTGAAATACTTATTTACTTTACTTGTTCAAACAGCATATTTGATATATTTAAACTTATCCCCCCTTAAAAAATTTTACTTCAAAATGGACACCTAATATGATACAAAAATATTAATTTTTTTTTTAAAAGTTAAAAAATAATTACAAAAAAATAATACTGTTTTGTTTTGACTTTTTAAATGGGACAATTAATATGAATATTCTTATGAGAGTGCTAAAAGCAGTTGCTTTTAATATGAATATCCTATTGGTTGAAACATCAATCATAAATGTCGTAATTAATGTGTCTTTCTTACTTTTATGGAACTTTTGAGGGCAAAATTATTCTTTTAAGTTTTTTAAAAAAGTTAAAGAATAATTATAGAAAAATAATACTGTTTTGTTTTAACTTTTCAATTGAGACAATTAATATGGAATATCCTATATGAAGAGTGCTGAGAGCTGCTTAAGCGACTTTTGCAATTCTGATTGGTTTAAATACCAATTATGAAAGTCTTAATTAATGTGTCTTTAATACTTTTATGGAACTTTTCGGGACAAAATTACCTTTTAAAATTCTTTCATCTTTCTCCTCTAGTTCCTATATATATATAATCTTCATTCTTTCCTTTGTAATTGATTTTTTCCTTTTTTTTCTCTCCTCTTTAAATTTGTATTCGTGAATGATTAAGAAAGAAGAAGAAAAAAAATTCGATATACGAATTTAGAGAGGAAAGGGGAAAAAATAATTATTATAAAAGAAATAATAAAGATAATACTATTCTAAAAGTGTAAGAAATTTCTTAATATTTTTATTTTATTTTATTTTTTCACATAAAAAGTCTCATTAAACCACATATTCATACTTCATTAAAGCACATAATGATTAATAGCTTTCTTAATTTTTTTTAAAAATAATTCATACATTTTCTCTACTTCTTAACATTTTAGTTGATTTATATGTACTCGCATTAAACCACATATTCATACGTCATTAAATCACATAATGATTAATACCTTTCTTTATTCATACCATTATGTGATGTTTAATATCAAGCGGCATTGTCATTCTAGACAGTAAAAAACGTATATTACGTATAAAAAATTAAAAATAAAAATAATAATTTGATGTGACATATGAATAATAGTAATTAGAAATGCAATATATTTTTTAAAGATGTGTCATCGCCAAGTGAATTAAGAAAATATTAGGATTCTAAAATGTTAAAAGACACGTTCAAATTTTAAGAATATCAAGTTTATCTAAATAATAATATTAAATGTTAAATCTATATTTAGTTCAGCTCTATGTCCCACAGGGATCATATTCCGGCATTGTCATTTTAGATAATAAAAAACGTAAAAAGTTTTAATTACATGTGACATGAATAATAGTAATTAGAAATGCAACAATTGTTTTTTAAAGATGTGTCGTCCCTACTCCCTAGTGAATTAAGAAAATGTTTGGACTCTCAAATGTTAAAAAAACACATTCAAATTTTAAGAATATCAAGTTTGTCTAAATAATAATATTAAATGTTAAGTCTATATTTGGTTCAGCGTTACATGACACAACCATCATATTGCTGCATATCTTCTTAAATAAAATTTTAGTCCCATTATTAAAATAAATGACAATTTTACACTATATATAGACAGATCAAAGACTGACAGTAACTATATGTTGTGCCATGAAAAAAAACTGGAATTACTCTCTCACTGGACCATTAATTAAATATGTCATCGTCAAGTCAGAAAATAAATAAAGAAATTTACTTAATTATATTTTGTTTTATCACATGTACGAATACCACTCTATACATTATGTTTTATATAATATATTAAACAGAGTATATTATTACACTATTCAACTTTACCTTTTGAATGAAATTAAAATAATACCTTTTTAACTTCTGAAAACGAAAGCCACGTAGACTGAGCTCGGTCTTCTTTTTGGCATTCGGAAAGAAATCATTCCAACTCTGGTAAGTATTATTTATTATTTTGTTCTTTCCTCTTGTATATCATTTGTTCTTCTTTAGTCCCAAATTTTATCAAAAGCTGAAGGATTGTTCGTATCAAAGAGAAAATTTCACAAATTTACCTTTTGATCGAAATAAGAATTTATTTTTTAATTGTTCGATCTTCTTCTTATCTGCATCGTTTTCTTGAAGTTTTTTTTTCTGTTTTGCATCAGTTTTTTTTTTTTTTTTTTATTAAGAATTTTCATTTTTTCTTTTAGGGATGTTCAAATTTCAACCTAACTAGGCCATGAAAGTGAAAGTCAAATTTATTAAATAATAGATTTGTTATATATGAAAGTTGTATGTATATATTAAAAGCTTATTAAATATGAATTTAACTCAACTGCAAAGTTAACTTTTTTTACCCCTCATTAGACTAATTCAGTATGAGAATAACTTGAGATGATTTTTTTCTTTGTGCCATTGACTTTTTTTTTTTTTTTTTTCTTTTCATTTCATTAGGGGTGTCACATAGTTACTGGAGAGGATTTTTTTCCTTGTGCCATTGACCTTCTTTTTTTTTTCTTTTTTTTTTTTCTTTTTTCATGGTAACTAGAGAGGATTCTTTTCCTTGTGCCATTGAAAAAAATCCTCTCCAGTTACTAGGGTGGTAAATTCTGACACGACACACCGACACGACACGAGATAAAAGGGTTTTGGTTTTGGTAGACTTTAAACGGATTCGAGTCATAAACAGGTTGACACAATTAACCCATTTACTTAACCGTGTCGGATTAGGGTTAAAAATTTCAACTCAGTGTAATCCGTTTATACACGTTTAATTCAACATGTCATAATCGTGAATATGACTTATGTAATATATTACTTGTTTAAGCCCATTTACAATGGACAATTAAGTCATTTCAACGTAAACATTAACTACAGCTTATAATTTTTCTTCTTATATTGAAAATTTGAGTTAATTGTGACAAAAAATTATAGTATATTTTATTTATTTGAATATTAAATGTCTCGTTTTGATAAACAGATCATTAAATGAGTTAACACGTTTACCCGTTTAATAAACAAGATGGGTTAGCATTGAGGTTCTTAGCACGTTTATCCGTTTAATAAACAAGATGGGTTAGCGTTGAAGTTCCTGACACGATTATTAAATGGGTCAGGTTTAGATTTATCTGTTTAGTAAAATACCTTTATAATGACACGATATAATTATGACCCACGAATATAAATTATAACCCCTAATTCTGGTCTATCTAATTAATTTTATGTGAGTAAAAATTGATTACACGGGGAATATTAGATGTCATTCCAGTCACTCACATAAATCAGTGTTCCACTTTCGAACTCTAATATTTTAAAAAAAAAAAAACTAATATATCATGCTATTTTTTTCTTTTTTTTATTATATACTCATAAAATTCAACATCGTCATCCGAGCACGTGCTTGCATCGCCGGTTCAGTTGTTCCATCTTCCTTGCTCACCCCGTCCAAATCTCGCTGGTTATCGATTTACCTCCACCGGAATCGCGACCAAATCACAACCCTCATCATCGTCACTGGTCGTCTCTTTCGCCGGAGTAGTCGCTGGTCATCGTTTTTTCCTCAGAGCTTCACAATTAAAACCTTCTTTCTTCAATTGAATCAGCATATATCAAGATAATTTTTGCTACTCTGTTTAATTGATTATACACAAAGTGATGATTGAGAAAACCAGTCTCAATCAACCAAGAAAAAAATCAAGGAGAGAGGAAATGGCCAGCTTATTCTTTCCCACACCAACCTCGACCTCATCTTCTTATACCTGAACCGTCAATGACTTTGAAACCACCACATGCTTGACCCGATCAGAGCAAGGTCGTCACAATCAAAACCACCGCATCAGATTTTTTTTTAGTGTGGTTGGGTTACACAGGGAGAGTACAAATGGAGTAAAAATGTTAGGGAGGAGTTTTTTTGCAATTTTTTAAAAAATAAATTTCAATTTTACAATAAATAGTAAGATTAAATTTGTATTTTCAGAGCTCGGTTAACGGGTTGGTCATGAATACTGGGACAATGCGACAATGTAATCGCTTTTTGAAGTATCGGAGATTTTTTAAAATTATTTGGAGGCGTATGATCAAAATATAAAAATATTGGGGGTTTTATGTAATTAGCCTTTATTTATTTTTCCTTAAGCCGCGGGTGAAGATTTTTTTTTCAGTACTCCTCTCAATCTCAAACGAAACCTAGCCCTCTATCTCTTGAATCCATCAACGAAACCCTAACCCTCTTTAAGCACAACCACGACTTTGCCTCAATCACAGAGGATGATTGTTTGGATCTTTGTCTTTCGCAAGTTTCAGCTTCAATCACAGAAGTTATTTCTAATTATTTCTTCAATCACAGAAGTTATTTCTTCAAGCATAGAGGATAAGCCCTAACCCTCTCTAACCCAGGTACTATTTTCTAATTTACTCTTTCATCTCTGCCTTCCCCTAGAAATTTGTAGAGTCTCTCTGTAAATGTTAATATGTGGTGATAATTTCAATCATTTAATTTGTCAGTAGTTTATGGTGAGATGATTTCATTTCATGTGTTGTTTACATATTCACTTGATTTGAGGACTCATAAGAAAAAAATGATATCACTACCCATGTCCCTGGGTATAGGGTTTATTGTTATTATTATCAATTGCCAAGAAGAAAAAGGGCGTGCCTTCATTTTTCCTTCTTTTGAACTGAAAAATTGTCCAATATTATACATTTATATTTCATCAGTAATTCCTTATATTTTCATGGCCATGACTCTTGCTATGGACCTACAAAGGGAAGATGGTTATGGGCTGCCACTTAATCTTGGTTTATTGATTGATATTAATGTGATTAATTAATATATAAATTATTATTATGTGAAGTTGTTATCATAGGTAGTTCATTCTTTATTAATTGTTGACTTTAACATTTGATAACTGTTCACAGTAAGGGGCCGGACACAATGTTCTGGATATGTCTTGGCCATTGCCACTGTCCAGAGGATAGGAGGGAAGAGACTTTCATGTGTTTGTTCATGGTCCAACCCTTCCTTGGTGAAGAGTTTGTAGTAGATAATACATGATATAATGGTCGGCATTAGAGCCAATTATCGTAGAAAACCATTGTTGAATTCCCATTGTTGATGCTGATTCAAGTTCATGTTTTGACTATAAGCTTCTTTGTTATATGGGTGTTCCAGTAGTTCTTTATCTCGTTATCTGTTCAGTACTTCTTTAGCCTAAGTGCTAAGTATTTTTTAGCTTTAAGAAAACAAAAATCAATGAAGGAAAATATAATTGAGAATAAAATCGCGGCTTACTTATTTCCCAAAATGCTATGCAAGTGTATTATGGTCTCTTCCTTTTCTAATGAAAATCTCCTTCTCTTGATGTCTGGTCTCAAGTAGTTTGTCCAGTGAAGTCTGCAACTCTTTCCACACCTTTTAAGTCCTATTCAGATAAATATATATATAGAAAATGAAACAATGAAAACCACCAATCATCACTATGCACACTGTCAGACTCTTGATTCAATATAGAAATCAATTTTGTTACCAATCTTGAAGAGTGCTTTATTTCATTTCCGAGCCTACCCAGCTGAGTACGGCAAACCGATTTAGCTTTCTTACAATAATAGGTAATGGCGTCATTAATCCTAGAACAATTAATCAGGAACACACTTAGTTTGAAATTTCTGAAGAATCAGGAACACACTTAGTTTGAAAATTTTGAAGTTTGTAGGTTAAGGTTGTGATAATCAAAAAGCAGAAAATGCTGGTATATGCTAGGATTCATCTAACATATAGAAGGAATACATGGTGGTTAGCATTCAATATATAGATATGAGTGAATATCCCCAAGGGGCAGCCTAGGGTACATCAGTTTTTCATTTAAATTTCAGAGTGCAAAAATATTATACTATCATCTATTGATTAAGATTTTGTATAATAATTAAGTGAGGTTTTGCTCATTAAGCTTGTTGTCTAATTTTTCAGGCTAGTAAAGCTGATCGGGCTAAAAAGAAGCACGAAAAGGAAAGAGTGGTAAGGCTGCAGGATAAAGGTATTCTATACCATTCCATGGATGAACTTAAGTGTATTAATTTGTGTTAAAATGTTTCTAAATTTTATATGATCTCGTAAATTTAATGTTTACAGATAAGGGCAGAATTGAAGCCCAATTCAGAGTGGATGAAGCTTTTTCACAAAAGATAGCAGAAGCACGACAAATGATGCGGAAGAGAAGGACATATGCTGCCTGACTTTGTCTGCAGAAGGTTATTTTATATATATATATTTTTTTCAGATGTACACCTATGAATTTGTTTCTAAGCTGCTTAAAAAAAAAAAACTGGTCTTCCCCTTTCCTCATTTCAGTTGGAGAAGACTGTCGACTTTGAGGACAATCACACTATACAATATCAAACTTCTGTATGGGAGCTATTCTGATTTGAAACTTCTGCGAGGATCTCTCCATCTTCTACATCAATCACCTCCTCATCCCGTAGAAACCATCGTTATTCAGGAACAAACCAAACTCCTCCAATGGTTAATTGTCAAATACTTTGAGAATATAAGTGTTTTTGAATCAACTAAACCATTGGAGGAGTTTGGTTTGTTTCTTAAAAGGATGATTTCTAAGGGGATGAGGAGGTGATTGATGCAGAAGAGGGATAGATCATCGCATAAGTTTCAAACTAGAATAACTCCCATACAGAAGTTTGATATTGTATGGTGTAGTCAAGCCATTCTTTACCGATTGTCAAATACTTTGAGAATCTAAGTGTTTTTGAATCAACTAAACCATTGGAGGAGTTCCCTTTGTTTCTGAAGAAGGATAATTTCTATAGGAATGAGGAGGTGATTGAGGATCTCGCATAAGTTTCAAACCAGAATAGCTCCCATAGAGAGCTTTGATATTGTATGGTGTAGTCAAGCCATTCTTTACTACTGTAAAATAAAGAATTGCCACACCGAGAAGTTTGATGTATAACACACACTGCGGAAAATCATCAAGTTCAAGGATAATGCTAAGTAAGACCTGCACTGCTGGATTGTGTTCACATTCACAATGGACTTAATGTCTTGCAGTTTTGTATAGCACTAAGCTGCTGATAGTTTGTAAAGTCTTGCAATTTTGTATAGCATTAAGCTACTGATAGTTTGTAACTTTGTATTGCCACTGCAATGCAATTTTTTTGGTGTTGCTTTGGCTAGGTGTTGTTACTTTGACTTTTTCTAGAACTTGTCTTTTCTCGGTTTCTAGTTGTTGATTCGGCATGTGCCTTGTTTGTTCAATTTTAATTCATTAGTATATATATTCACCTGTTACATTCCACTTCATGTAATCGTAGATCACGGTCAATGTCACCCTTGCTACAAAAATTATTCTTCTATTTCTCCTACACATTTGTGGTTTTTGGTCGCCCTAAAAAAACAATGATGCAACACGACATTTGACGAAATGCAACATTAATGCAATACATTTATATCAAAAATACAAGCAGGGATGAATTCAAAAAATTATGTGAGAGCATAAGGCCTCATCGCAAGGAGTGTGATATACAACCTTGATGCAACATGTTTATATAAATGCGTATGAATCTAGAAAATTATAATCAGTAGTATATAAAATAAATCAGTAGTATATAAAATACTGGGAAATATATATATATATATATATATTAGTTGGGGAATGAGTAAGACTGTACATAGATACAAGACTCATGCAAGATATTACATCATGTTATAATATTATTTCCATAGTTGTATTGTCAATTTAAAATTATTGTATAAACAATTTAAAGTTATTGTTGCAATTTTAAATGCACAAAACAAACTCCAAAAGAAAAAAAATACCAAAGAGAATCTTCGTGATTAGTTTATTTCTGTATATATATATATATTGTGTTTTTGAATCTTTAGGCAATAGACCATGGGATTTCAGATTCATACCTTGACAGAGTACGTGGAATTACGAAACAGTTGTATGCACTTCCTATTGAAGAGAAAAAGAAGTACTCTCGAGCAAATGATGAAGCTGAAGGGTGGGGTGGTGACTTGATTGTTTCAAGAAAACAAGTTATAGATTGGTCAGATCGCCTCACTCTTAAAATACTCCCTGAAGATGAGAGAAGGCTCAACCTTTGGCCACAAGGCCCAACTGATTTTAGGTACTTATATAATATTGTTGTAATTTGTTTAGTTATGACATCAATTTGTGTTGAATTCTTGCACTGATAGATGAGGAATGGCATATTTTGTTGTTGCAGAGAGATTTTAAATGATTATGCAATGAAGATGAAATCTATTTTAGATCTTCTTATTAAGGCGATTGCAAAGTCGTTGGATTTGGAAGACAATTGCTTGTTGAACCAGTTTGGAGATTGGGCGGTGTTGAGTGCAAGAATTAACTTCTACCCACCTTGTCCAAGACCTGATCAAGTTCTTGGTCTCAAAACTCGTTCAGATAGATCAGGAATGACTGTTCTATTGCAGGACAAAGATGTGGAAGGTCTTCAAGTCCTCAAGGATGATCAATGGTTCAAAGTCCCCATAATTCCCTATGCCCTTTTCATTAATGTGGGTGATCAGATGCAGGTACATTTTTTTTTTCCTTAGGTAAGTAGGTACTCACACACATTTCACAAATTGTCTCCTTGTGTTTCTGGGACTAGAAATTATAATAAGTATATATTCAAAATATGGAAGCTCGTCAGAGATAACAAATCTGAAAGGAAATTTTGTTCTGATTTGTCTATGAAGTGCAACCCCTCCTAGTGATGAGGAGGTTATAAGGCCTCCAGACAATGATTCATTAGGCCACTTGTAAATATTGATTAACATTTGTGCCTATATATGCTTGATTAGTTTTATACCATCAACACCTGCAGATAATGAGTAATGGAATTATCAAGAGCCCAGTGCACAGAGCAGTAACAAACCCCGAAAAGCAGAGGATTTCGGTGGCTGTAGCTACTAAGCCAGAAGAAGAAAGAGAGATTGGACCAGCAGATGGCTTAATAGATGAGAAAAGGCCTAGGTTGTATAGAAATGTGAAAAACTATGCAGCAATCAACTTTGAATGCTTTCAGAAAGGGAATGTAGCAATTGATACTGTCAAGATTTAGTTCCATGAAGAAAGATGTTGAAATTTGAAGTTGTATGAGGATTCTACTTGTTTTATAATGAATAAATCTGCACAAAAATGCAGCTTTTTAATTGCATATTACTGCGAAAGCACCGCGTTCTAATGTGGCTTTGTCTGAAGGCTGAATATATGATGACATAGATAAAAATGTTATGTGTGGCTAAGTGCTGCTGTTTTTTTAGTATTAGTGTGCAAAGATGCAGTTTGAAATTGTGAGCTTAATGAGGATTCTGTTTTTTGTGTCTACATATTTCAATCAACTGAAATAACTTAACAAAATTGAATTTGAGGACTTCCTTTTAGCTTCTATGTCTATTTTCTTTGAAAATTTTGTTAGTAAAATTTTAGTAGGCTTTTACCTACTCCAATCTAATACAGTATTATGCTAAATCTGGAAAACTGCTCATACAATGAGTTTTCTTTACACCCAAAATTTCTGGCTTAGCAAATGAAAGAATCACCTTTTGTATAAGAATAAAGGAAAGATGTGAAGGTCATAATAGTCCTGAGAAAATTTGAATTCTCTACTTGTTACCTAGGGAGAAGCTCAAATAATTATCAAACTCTCAAATTGTATGTTAAGATTATTATTATTATTATTTTATTTTATTTTATGATTTCGGTGCAGGTACTAAAGATGTTCCTAATTCGATCAATCAAAAGTATAAAACGATGAACGACATGTCGGAGAGATTAGTTCAAATCAATCACCTTATCGATGTTACAGAGAACAAAGGCCAACAATGTTGGTGCCAATGATTTTGTATCTTTAAGGAAGATTCCTCCAAGACGGCCAATTAAAACATACTTTCTGGACCCCACTTTCAGTTTTCAATTGATCCTCATATGCTAAAATCGGACCCTTTCGCCCCCATTTGGTGCAATCATTTAGTGTTATTTATTTATTTATTTATTTATTATTATTATTTTATTTTTTCTTAATTAGGTACTCACATACACATGTCTTCATAGAGGCTCGAACCCTGATTTCTCTTTAAGAACTAAGGGTTTAGTACCGTTAGGCCATTGCCCACAATACATATATCATTTAAGTTAGAAGTGCGATTCGAAAGCAAGACCACTCAAATACTTAAGCTCCGTTTATTTGGACGTAAAATATTCTTCAGAAAATATTTTCTTATTTTCTGGTGTTTGGTTTCGTTAAATATTTACGAAGAAAAAAATATATTAAAATTTAACAAAAATAATTTAGCCATAAATTTTCGACAAGTTGTTTGACATGCCCCGCCTGATGGACTCGACTTGAATCTCGATGTAGACCATTGTCAAATATCGATAAAGTAAAAATAAAAGAATATTTTACCTGAAAAATATATATATATTTTTCAAAAAAAATATTTTACGTCGAAACAAACGGATAGTTGAAAATCTTATTTAGTTGGAAAGTAAAGTCTGGTACCGCTAGGCCACTAATTAAAAATTTTAAAGTGTTATGAAATTAATCACAATTAAGGCTTTGTTTGTTTCAATGTAAAATATTTTCATGGGAAGAGATTTTTTTTTCTTTTTTCAAGCAAAATATTTTCTTTAATTTTGTTTTTTCAATATTTGGCAAAATTGTTAGTCGAGGTTGAAATCGAGTCCATCGAGCAAGGCATATAAATAACTTATCGAAAATTGATGATAAGTTATTTTTGTTACTACGTTTTATTTTTTTATTTTTCGTAAATATTTTACCACAACCAAATACCAAAAAAAAATAAATTTTTTTTTTTAATATTTTACAAAAATTATCTCAATTATAACCGATCACAAGTATTGCATCATTCTTACATAAATAAAGTCCGGCACATGAAATTCTTTCATTTTCATTTCTTTTTATTACTTGACATTTAACATGCCATTAGAAAATTTAGGTTTAATTTTTTAAAATTATTTCTAATAATATATAGGCCCATCAATCCAGTTGTCACAAAAATAATGACCACATAAAAAAGAAAAAGAAAAAAAAGAAAGTAAAACAAATGCCATTATGTGGATTGTAATTTCTGATGAAAGATAATTTCAAAGGAAACAAAGAAGTAGAAGAGATAATCAATTCAATTTTACTGGTTTTCAATAAGTCCAGCCAACTAGATTACTTTATCTGTTTGATTTGCTCCGACAAGCAAATTGTGCAATGATGTTAATGGCCTAATTAATCAAATAAAAGACTATAATATAAATTAGCTCCTATCAAGTCCTACTCACCATTTTATATATATATTATTAGCTCCTATCAAGTCCTACTCACCATTTATATATATATTTTAACACCATTCACCAAAAGCAGTTCACACAACATATTATTTAACAATATATATGTATGGTTAAGCGTAAAAAAAACCTTCCTATAATATTAATTTGGTGCGAATAGGTTTCTAAGTGGTGTAAAATGACGATAAAACCCTCACCAGTTGAATAAATTAATGATTATAAATACATGTAATGTAAAATGACCTTTTTGTCCAAATTTGTATAAAATGGGATTTGTTTGACAAAAAGGTAAAATAAACCTCAAATTATATAAAACAGGGATAACTTAAACCTGAATACAACTTAAATTTAAAACCAAACATGCCTTTTCATATTTTAAAATATAAATAAATTTGTCATATATATATATATATATATGATGCCGGACGACTTGCACCCACCTCAACGAAACCTAGTTCAATCATCCGGTTCATGTAAGCTTCATTGCTCTACCTTGTCGGTGACCCATCATCGAAGATTCAACAGTTTTGACAAGCTGAATTTAGAGACCCATCTCGTCTGGAGTTGCATTGAAGGCCGGTGAGCTCTAAGCAACAAGAACAATACTGGTGACAGAACTGTGACCTCCACAAACTGCATTTTCCACCATTGAGCTTCAACTACCAAACCAAGAAGCTCACAGCAAACAACAACCCGAATTCTGGCGATTCAGTCCGGCAAGATTCACATTCACCCAGTTCAGTCCGGCAAGCTTCACATTCACTCAGTTCAGCGTGCTCCAACTTAGCTTCATCTACATTAACAACAGAGAGATTGAAATCGATAACGTCCACGCAAGCTCCACCATCTACATGCACTACCACTGGTGACCAAACTAGTGAGCCTCAAAGATGAGCCAACAGTGTTCTTCATTGAAGAATCATTCTGGCTGGAGTTACATATGAGACCCATTTCTGACGTACTCCACTTCAGATCAGCGAGTTGCACTTAAAGACTCGACAATTTCGATGATCTTCAGTTAGACCCAAAAGCTACTTCAACACTATTAGCTTCAGCGAGCTTCGTTCAACAATTCGGCGAACTTCAGTCGTGAATTGTAGTGACCAAAAGCTTCAATCTGGTGACAATCAGTTCGGTGAGCTTCAATCTTAACATTCAATCATTGCTTCTTCACGAAATCAACAATAATCGAAGCCTTTATCAGCAATGAGATTTTTATCAGCCTTAATACTCTTAATTAGGCTAGTAGTTTCCCCGGCCTCATGGTTGTCTTCATCATTTATCGATGATAAAATCCGATCGTCAAGTTCTACTCCTTGATTTGAATAAGGAAATTGGACATTTTAAGCTATAATTTCATTTTTTTTTTGCCGCTGGCCTTCGTTTCCCTTTAGTTTGTGAAGGCCGATTCTTCAACGGAGAAATTAACGGAGGAAAAAAAAAAAGAATTGAAGCAGACATGCATGGAGGGAGGGAAAAAGAGAGAGAGAGACACACACAAATTGGGTTTAGGGTGGGGGTCCTTCTGTGCACAAATGGTGAGGGCCTTTTATGCACAAATGGTTGTGCACAGAAGGACCTTGTGACACTGAAAACACTTAACCCATATATATAACATTGTATTTTCAGTGTCACATTATCTTTTATGTAATCAAGCATAATAAAGTGCCTCAAATTCAATAGACGATCTACATTCCCATTAATCCAGTTTCTCACAAATATAATGCTCACATAAAAAACGTAAAGCAAATGCCAAGGAAATGACAAATAAAAAGGGATTAATTTGCACATAAAATATTTATACTATTATATTTTAATCGAAAACGGTAAAAGTTGACCTAATATGAATACTTTGAAATCGAAAATTTAGAATATATTTTTTTTTCAAAAGACAAGTCTTTCATTATTTATTTATTTATTTTTTTTACAAATATTGGCATGTGTTTTATAAATATAGAGCTTAAAAACATCACTTAAAACATATAAAATTTAAATGTAAATATATATTAAGTGATAAACAATTAAACATAGGTTTCACACTTTTACTTAAAATAAATTTAAATGTAAATAAAATTTAAATTAATATTACAGATCTAACTCATCTTTTTTGGAACTGGAGTTTACTTAGGGCAAGGACATGCACTACGCTCTATACCCACATATTCTTTTGAAGGGCCTGCAGTTTAATTTGTCCCTCCCAACTATTAAAAAATATTGCAAGTTGCAACATCTCAAAGGAATAACATTTTTAATAGTTAAAGGGCAAATTGCAATAAGTGGGAATTTAAAACTTACAAAAACTTTGTACTATTTTACAAGAATTTTTTATTTTTTTTTTAAAAAAGGAGGGATCAATTCAATTGTCTTTTTCAATCAGTCCAAGAAGATGACATTATCTAATTTCGTTTGCTTCGACAAGCAATATTTTATTGTTGGCGACAAGCGGCAATTTTGTTGATGGCCACTGATGAGTCAGACCGCTTCACACAATATATATTCATTACTCGTACTTTCATTGTCATCTCAATCTGTGATTTGCAGACGAGCGATATGGCCGATACTTTGCTTCCCACCGAAATGGCTCCTTCCAAATCTGCTCAAGAATTGTTCATCAATGGTGATGAACCACCCCCTCGCTACATAGTTAAGGAAAGCAATTTTGGGTCTATAGATTCTTCTCCTCCATTAGCTCCAATTCCAACCATAGACGTCAGTCTCCTCTTGCCCTCATCATCACCTTCTTCCATTCAAGAACTGGACAAACTAAGATCAGCTCTCAGCTCATGGGGTTGCTTTCAGGTTTTCATTTCTTCATAATTTCTAGAAAATTTTCAATTTTATTGTATTTTACTACTTTGGTATTGATTAATTTTCAAGTTCATTGTGTTTTTCTACTTGGGTACTGATTATTTTTCAATTTTACAATTTTCATTGTGTTTTGCTACATGGGTAGTGATTAGTTTTCAATTTTTTTGTGTTTTGCTACTTGGGTCTTGATTATTTTTCAATTTCATTGTGCTTTGCTACATGGGTAATGATTAGTTTTCAATTTTATTGTGTTTTGCTACTTGGGTCTTGATTATTTTTCAATTTCATTGTGTTTTGCTACATGGGTAGTGATTAGTTTTCAACTTTGTTGTGTTTTGCTACCTGGGTCTTGATTATTTTTGAATTTCATTTTGTTTTGCTACATTGGTAATGATTAGTTTTCAATTTTATTGTGTTTTGCTACTTGGGTACTGATTTTTCTCTCTATATATTCTTGTGATTCTCTGAACTCTGATGATATTTGTTAGGCAATAGGCCATGGAATATCAGATTCATTATTTGACAGAGTGCGTGAAGTTGCCAAACAGTTCTTTGAACTTCCTGTGGAAGAGAAAAAGAAGTACTCTAGAGCAGATGATGAAGGTGAAGGATGGGGAGGTGACTTGATTGTTTCAAGAAAACAAGTTCTAGACTGGTCGGACCGCTTAGTTCTTAAAGTACTCCCTGAAGATGAGAGAAAGCTCAATAAATGGCCACAATATCCAACTGATTTTAGGTACTTCTATAAAATGTTTTATATGTATATGAAAATTTTGATAAAATAGCTTACTTTATTATGTAATTGGTTTAGTTATGAGTTATTTTGAAGACTTGTATTGATAGATGAGGATTGGTATATGTTGTTGCAGTGAGGTTTTACATGATTATGCTTTGAAGGTGAAGTGTGTTTTAGATATTCTCTTTAAGGCCATTGCAAAGTCATTGAATTTGGAAGAGAATATCTTCTTGAACCAGTTTGGAGAGCGGGCATCTTTGATCAGTAGATTTAACTTCTACCCACCTTGTCCAAGACCTGATCAAGTTCTTGGTCTCAAGCCTCATTCAGATAAATCAGGGATGACAGTTCTACTGCAGGACAAAGAGGTGGAAGGTCTTCATGTTCTCAAGGATGATCAATGGTTCAAAGTCCCCATAATTCCCCACGCCCTTGTGGTTAATGTGGGCGATCAAATGCAGGTACAATTTTTTGTCTCAGTGGTCAAATGGAGCTTTGCTGCAACTCATTTACCTAATTTTGGCATGTTAAAATTCATTTAAGGAATGTCACTATTAGATTACCATTAGGCCACTTATGAATCTTGATTAACGTTTGTGTGCCTATGCTTGTAATGGAGGTGTGAGGAGGGGAAATCAACACATTAACATTACAGTTCTTTTTCCATAATTGTTGTGAGTTAATTTATACTAAAGTAGTATAGCTTTGGAAGAAAATTTAAAGCTAAAATTCTTAACTAGTTTTATATCGACGCTTGCAGATAATGAGTAATGGAATTATCAAGAGCCCGGTGCACAGAGCAGTAACAAACCCTGAGAAGCTGAGGATTTCTGTGTCTGTATCTAATGAGGCAGAAGAAGAAAGAGAGATTGGACCAGCAGATGGCTTGATGGATGAGAAAAGGCCTAGGTTGTATAGAAATGTGAAAAACTATGCTGCAATCAACTTTGAATGCTTTCAGTTGGGGAAGGTAGCAATTGATACTGTCAAGGTCTAGTTCATGCAGAATGATGTTGAAATTTGAAGTTCTATGAGAATTGTAGTTCTTTTATAAGGAATAAATCTGCACAAAACTGCAGCGTTTTGCGTAATGCTGCAAAAGCGCGGTGTTTTGATGTGGCTGTGTTAGAAAAACTGAATATTGACATGGTTAGAAGTGTTGTGTATTAAAGTGCTGCTGTTTTTAGTACTTGTGTAAAAATATTGTTTGAAATTGTGAGTTTAATGTGGATTCTGTTCTATGTCTGTCTAGATAAATCCTTCGATCAACTGAAATAACTTGGAATTTTGCATGTTATACTAATAATTATAAGCTGATTAGAGAATTTCAGTAGTCTTTTAACCTACTTAAATCTGTTTGTCTTGCTGGACTTGAACTCTCATCTAAGAGCTCGATGAGATATCACTGACACTAAGTGCCCATTTGGCATGCGCTTTGTTTTTGGCATTTTGTTTTTTACTAAAAAAAAAAAATAGTGTTTTTGCTGTAGAAGCGTTTTTGAAAAAAAATTAGAAACACGTTTGGGAACGATGTTTTAGGCTTTTTGTTTTTGGCCCCTGTTGCACTGTTTTGGTTTTGGGTCATGAACAGTTGTCAAAATAAGAAAAAACAATTTTTTTGGTGTTTTGGTTTTGGGCCACTGTTCACGAAGTGTTTTAGCAAGGAGTAAAATAAAATAAGGTCGCACCAAATATGTTTTTGCTATCAAAATTGACACTGTAGCATTCTAAAAACAAAAACAACAGAAAAACGCATGCCAAACGGGGCCTAAGGGCCACAACCTTGAACTCTCACCTCCCATTTTTGTAAATATGTGTTGAAAAGGGGAAATTCTAAAGTATGTAGATGGGTTGAGGTTGAAGTTCCTATCATTCCTCCTGCACTTGGTGTCAAGTTGTCAACCTATAAAATGTGAAGACGAGGGGAATGGACGGAAATCAGGTGGACCATATGGCTGGGCAGTGATCTCAAGCCATCCCACACACAGATGAAGACGGACCAAGGATAGGGGCTGGGCCACTGCACATAAAACCCATTCAAAAGAAGTTTGATCTTTTCAAATGGGTCATCAATGGTCAAAAGACTCAAAACCCATTGGACAAACCAGCCTGCCACATCATCTGACGATACATGCCAAGCTTCAATTTTATTATTATTATTTTTTTCGGATTAAGTAAATACTCACACAACTATAAAATTGCTCACTGTGAAACTCGAACTCTACTCTTCACAAGCTGGGCTATGTGCCACGCTTCACTGGAGAAGAAAATTTGGAAAGTTTTCTTTTTTTAAAGAAACCCCTCTAAAAACACAGGCTTCCAAGGAAGAAGAAGATGCCTTGGACCATACACAACAACACTACCTTAATTTATAACCTAGTGTAATTCTTAGCTTAAGCTGGATGGAATTGAGTTCTGGAAGCCAATACAGGAACATCGTTATAATTTTTATTTATGTCACGTATGTAAATGAATCAATCTACACTAAAATTCATTGCTTGAAGAAAGTAATAAAAAACTGAATTTTGTAGTTGTTGGTATACATAAATGCATGTAGTAGATATTGAGTAATAATAGAATATACGAATGTTATGTAGAAGTAGAACAGTGAAACCCTAACCTACCAAATAAATAAATAAAACAGTGAAAAAATATGCTGCTACAACTTATAAAGCTTTCAGAAAGGTTAGTAGTTTATCCAGGTCTTATTTGATTCTCACTCAGCAGGAATCAAAGTTTCTTAACGTATCAGAAAGATTAAAGAAGACTCAATTTTTGGCCACAACATTTAAAGGGTTTTAGGTACCAATCAAATAGTACTTAATAAAAACGGAACACTGTCTCAGCAAAATGAGAAATTTATCGTAGTACATCATGTCTGTCTCACTTCTATTGGTGGAAATTACAGTTATTGGTATGTCTCCTTCCTTCCTCATTGTCCAAACAACTCAATAAACTTCAATCTGCTTTCAGCTCATGGGGTTGCTTTCAGGACAAATTCAGAGAACCTTTTCATCAAAGACTTACTTGCGGTCTTTTAAGAGCATGAATCCAGAATGCATTTTATCATCTGGTGTTCGCATAAATCTAAAGAATAATGTAGAAAAAATGGCAGAGAAGAGAACAACAACAATATTAGTAAAGATTAGTGAACTTTCACAAAAAATGAGCACACTTTATTTCATTTCAAAGAAAGATCACAAGAAGAAAATAACAAAACGTACAGAATGGAGTATTTGTACTTGCTATGGATGTACTCATTTAAATTGATAAAGTCAGTAGAACAGGCCAGAATACAACAAATGGAGTGGGGGAGGGGCGAAGAGAGAGAAGAAAAAGAAAAGAAAAGAAAACTACAAAATTGATGACTAAGAAGTCATAATACCACAACTACAGGAGAGTAAATGGACTTCTGTACTGCAGCACCGGAATGTCTTCTTGATCATTGGTTCCCTTTAACCAGCTACATCAAGTTATAAATGCATCGACGGATCTTCACGGAGCTTTAGACCAAATAATAAAACCTGTTCAATCAAAGGTGTAATATTAACTAAGATAATTTTATAAAAATCTAGGACATAAATGTACTCAAATGTATACAAATGAACTAATAATCCCTGATGTTTCATTTTAAGGCAAACATGTGTGCGCGCGCGAGAGAGAGAGAGAGAGAGAGAGGAGGGGGAGGGGGGATGGTGGTGTAATCACTCTCATGTGGCCAGCAAGTTTCAGTGCTTGTGTGTGTCTTGATGGAAGTTTACAGTTAATTTCTCCACAAGTATGATTATTTACTTTGGAGGATCTCATAGTAGTCCACTAGCCCAGTTAGAAATTGCTCTGTCCCAAGGAACTAGGAAACTACATTTGAAATCATAAACTCTATTAAAATGTTAACAGCATGCACCAACACACACGCCAACACAGACAACATCACAGCATTTATGCAAGGTTACAAGAACAATCAAACGGATTAAAAACTGTCAATTTGCATGACTTTGAACAATTCCTAGTCAAGCTCAGACAGCTGGACGCAATGCAACATTCGCATCACCGATGGAGCACTTCTAGTATGTGGTAAAGTAGGTCTCCGTCATTATGATGATTTTGTAGTTCAAGCCACTAAAACAATAAATCCGGTCACAAATAGAAGTTGCAGACCCTCAGAGGATAGAAAAGAGAAGCAATTGATGAGAGTATAACTAAAATTTAACATGTCATATATTCTGTTTTAGTTTTACTACTTCTTAGGCCACTTGATTCCAATGTGATTGTATTAAACCAAAAAACAAAACAATAATACAACACAACTAGAGGGCACACCCTCATAGTACAATGTTACTTGAATAGGCCCATTTCCAAAAGCCAAGAAGAATGAAAAATAACACGCAAAAGTGGCTAGCAGTCTCATCTAGACTAGTCTCAATGCCACAGGGTTACCCTCTCCTGCACTTAAACAGGAAGAAAACATTGTCACGATAGAAATACAAAGTTCCAATTAATCATTCACCCAATCTTGGATATCAGTGAGATGCACAACCCCAATTTCAAACACTTCCAAGCAAATCATTCTAGCCACCTGAGCAATTGAAGTAGCTTCACCTTGATACAAATTAAGGGCCTGTTTGGTTGCTGTTTTACTTCAGGTGTTTTTGTTGCAGGGCTTCATTTCAGGCCCAAAACATGTTTCGTAGCTATTGTTTTGTTTTAAACAGTACTAAAACATTGTTTTAAACAGTACTAAATTTGGGCCCAAAAGTGAAACACCAAAATGGTGCTTTTTGTTGTTTCAATACTGTAGCCCAATAAAAAACACTGTAGCGGAAGAACTAAGTTGTGTCTAACATTGTAGCGGAGGAAGTAACTTTAAAAGGCATTTGCAACATTTGGCCCGATTTTTTCTCTCTCCTCTGAAACCCTAGACGTCTGGCGATTTGGGAGGCGACGAAAAGGAATCGCGATATTGTGGGTAAGAGTACTCTCTCTTCTATTTCTCTCCTGTTTAAAGACCTTTCCTTTGTTGTTTCCTTTGATGTTGCTTTACTTTAAAGTGGATCTGACAGATCTGTTGAATTACATGGTGCGCGATGCTTTTCTGGATTTATTTGTGTTCTTGAGGGTTTCTGAAAACCGATAGGAGTTTTAGACCCAATTACCCATTTCATCATTCTTCGTCCACATCTGTTCCTTCAAAGAATTTTCAATTGCTAGGGCTTTGTTTCAGAGAACGCACGTTCGATTGGGTTCGACATCTTCATGGTACTAATTGAATCCTTCTTCAATCTCATTTTGGGTTGACTCTTGGATCTCATCCATCTATTATTTCTTTCCTATGTTTTTTTTTTATTTATCTTTTGGTGGTTAATTTTGATGTAAAATATGATTACATATTTTCAGGGTTTCAAAATTGCCTAAAGGCCCAACAATTGAAGTGAGAAATTACAGAATCTGGTTCTTATCATCTGAATCATTGAGGGAAGTTTCCATCTCACCCATCTGTTCTTAGTTTTTTTATTTTATTTTTGCTGTCCTGTCATTTTTATTTTTATATGTTTTAATATCTTCAAGTCTCTGTCATGTCATTTTTATTTTTATTTTTTTGTTATCAACACTTTATTTACTCTCTTTTTTAACTCGCTATATTTGTTAGATGGATTACAAATTTGGCTTCATCGTATGTTGTTATAATAAGTGAGTTTTAGGAAATTTTTAATTTTGTTCCTAAACTCATAGGAGAGATTAATCCTATTGCATTTAATCTGAGTAGATTATCAACTTTGTCGCAATTTGAGACTTGATAATAGATACTGTGACTAGTCTGTGAGGCTTAGCCGAAAATTGTATCTTGTGTTGGTGGGTTTTTGTTTTTAGGGCTGTTGAGGATGAATTGACCTTCAAGTTTTTGAGATGTGCATCATTCATATTTGTTTTTCTAGTAATAATCTGCTTGCTTTCAATTTTACTGAGTTGTATCTTGTTTATTGCGAACTTAATCTTTTAATTTGTGACGAAGTGGTAATTAAATTGGAAATTGTACTGATCGAATTGTTTTCTTGGTTGAAAATTGTAGATTCATATTTTAAATTGCTAAGTTTCTCATTTAAAGTCTACTGGTCATATATTTATATAAATCTGTGAGTCTTTTTACATGGTTTTCGTATTCTTCTAGAAATTTCTTGGCATTTCCTAAGCATTGAATACAATTCATTTTGAAAATCAGTGAGTCTTTAATTTATGTAACATTGATATTCAAGGTCATACCTAGTCCTTTCGTATTGTTCATGTTTCTAGAGTATGATTTCCTCCTTTTAATGAACTATAGTAAGAATGTAATTGCTTTAGTACATTGCCGTGAATTCCCCATCTCCAGTAAAGGGACAAAAGTATATATTTAACATTATATATGCTCCTTTAACTTACATTAATTATCCATTATAAAGGTGACCTTTGAAGTGGGCATATATGCCAATGAAACTAATTTTAATCAATTAAATAAAGAACTTGCTGATTGTTTGATCAACGTACTTAGGTGCTTCATTCAGAATACTTGGTTTTCGCTTGATGGCTGATTAGCAATCAATTGAAAGTGAATATGAAGATTCATGTGTGCGTATCACAAATAGATGTGAAAGTTACTTCTTGTTAATTGAAGCTTGCCAGAAAGACAATTATGTTTTCTCCAAATTTTGTTTATACTGATCTTACTTGTGTAAATTAATGAGTTGCAGTAATTTGGAAGGGGTTGTAACTTGTAAGCATTAGCTTGTAATTGTGTATACCATGCGTATCTTAATTTGTTTCTTTAATAATGTGGCATATACCGATGTTTATCTTTGTATCTTTAATAATGTAACTTCTAAACTTAAAATGTTTTTGTTGATGGTCTTATTGTAATTGATTATTTGTTTGATCACAATAGGTATACTGATAAGAGTGACAGCTTCAACTTTGGTGTTATATTGGGTGTTCTGTTAACTGGTAGAGACCCAATGGATCCATTCTTTGAGGGAGCAGTCACTGGGGGAAGTTTCGGACAGTGGCTTCGGCATCTGCAACAAGAAGGGGAGGCCCGAGAAGCATTAGATAGAAGTATCTTTGGGGAAGAAGTAGAAGAAGATGAGATGCTGATGGCAGTGAGATGATGTGTGCTGTTATGAAGATGACGTGTCCTACTATTGAAGCTTGTTCCATGGAAGTGAAATTTGTGTTTTTTGAAGTATGTCTCCTGTAAGATCTTTTGAGTTTTTCTGATACCTTCCTAACAGTTAAGGAAAACATAAGGAAACATCTTTTTATTTGTTAAGCATCTTTTTCTTCGTTTTTGGATCCTATTGTTGAAATTTGTAAACAATGAAGTGAATTGTGTTTGAACTTTGAATTATATCTCCTTTTTAATTTAATCTACTGTTTAATTTGTTCTCAATTTCTTTATCATTTTTCCTAATATAGAAGAATGAGTATGATTTGAGAAGCTTCCATTCTAGCAGGGTGCTTTTTTTATATTTTATTTTTATTTTTATTTTTTATTTTTATTTTTTATGTTATGACTCCTTGATAGATGTTTTGTGAAGTTTGACTCCAAATAGATGGATTAGAAATGAAAAAGGTGATCTTAATATCTAGATCATAAGAATACAGTAAAAAGATGGAAATTTACATGTCATCAAGACTCAAGTTGATGCCAAAACATTGGTCTCGGGATGGAAAAAAATAGGAATTTTGTAGTGCAATTATTAGAACTAACATTCTACATTTTCGCTGAAGCAGTTGCTTCTGTAATTACACTTTGGTTATATATATATATGTTTGTGTGTTCAAATTTCAATATATTTATTAAAAATATATAGACTATTTATATAGAAATAAATTTATAAATAAAATTTTAATTTATAAAAATAAATTAAAAACAATGATAACCAAACATGTTTTTTGTTTCTGTTTTATTTTTTTTTACAATAGTTGGAATTACCAAACATGTTTTGTTTTCAAAATTCTTGAAATGCATGGCTTACCAAACATGTTTTTCATGTTTCTGTTTCCGACATTTCCATAGCAAAACATCGTTCCCAAACGTGCTTCCGATTTTTGCCAAAACACTCCAATAGTAAAAACACTGTTTCTGTTTTAGCCAAAAATAAAAAGCCTAAAGCGAAACGCATGCCAAACGTGCCCTAAGATTTCTAGCCAATCAATTGATTTGATCATCAAGTCTATTTTTTAATAAGGACACTCAACAAACTCCTAATTAATGCTTAGGAATAATTAAAATTTTATTTAAAAGCAAATAATGTGATAAGTGCTTCATCTTTTATAGGAGGAAACATGTTTCATCTTTTATAGGAGGAAACATGTTTCTTTAAAGATAACTCACCTGGTATGGACACATCATCCCCCAGTTAATTTTTTTATTTTTATTTTAAAAAGGACAATTTCCATATAGTAAAAAGGCTTCTCAAGACTTACGAATAATATAATGTGATCCCAATCTTTACTTCCAAATCCTTCCTCACAAATACTGGGTCCTCTGACAAGAAAGAGACTTTCTCTAGGATTTTCTCTACGCCTTTTCATCTCACCCTTGTCAACAACACCATCTTTACAACATTTTTACCCCCTCATGGAACTTGAGATTCTCCAAGGTTTCCATAGACCACTCTTTAAAGACATTGAAAATAGGGTAAAGTGCAAAAAAACCCCTTGAACTATTGATCAATTAGCAACAAACTTCCCTGAACTACAAAAGTTGCAAAAAACCCCCTTGAACTATACATTTTTGTTGCAAATAGCCCAATCCGGTAATGCAACGGTTGAATCTCACCGTCAAAACACAAAACTTTAAATTAAAGACTATACTGACCTTATAAATACGAAAGAACACTAATGCCCCAATTTGTGACCTTTGGATCCAAACACCCAATCAACTCATAATTGAGAATTACCTTTCAAAAATAAAAAAATAAAAAAACTTATAATTGAGAATTTGAGACACTCCCAAACACCCAGTAACCTAATTTCTCAAAATCCCTGAAACCCTCTAATCCCTCTCTCTGTGTGTCTGTGTGTGTGTGTGTGTATATATAGTCTATCAGTTAGAATATATAATGGTCCCTCCGCCTGTGTATATAAATATATTCTCTCTGTCTCTCTCTCTCTCTCTATATATATATATATGTATGGTGCAATGCCGCTTGGAACAAAGGCTATATCTGATTTGTTCTTGATCTCGGACAATTCAAAGAACAAAGGCTATGAAATTAATGGTCTGATTCACACTGCCGTGGCCGCCACCAAACTTGCCAATGGAAGCAAAATCACATGGTCGGAGAGGAAAGAAATATAAATAGATCATCAGAAACAAAGTCCTATATTTACATATCAACATACAAAAAGAAATTGGAAAAAAAAAATAATAATAATAATAATAACTAGATGATTGTGAGTAAGTATGGTGGATTTATAAATTATTTTACTTTTTTTTATTTGTCCATCTATTAATGTACAAAAGAGGAACTTTAGAGAGAGAGAGAGAGAGAGAGAGAGAGTTGGTTGAGAGGTGATAGAGGTGGAGAACAGGTGTTTGCTGTTGACAGTGGAGATGAGTGTGTCATTATGTAGGAGAGATGGAACAGTTGTGGAATGATTTGGATTGAAGAGAGAGATTTGAGTGAATGAACACCACCAGTTTTCAAACAAATTAGGTGCAAAATTAGGTGCAAACTGATGGAGATGGGTGTGAGAAAAGAAGACGAAGAATAGTGTGTGTAACATTGGGTGCTAAACAAAGTACAAAAGAAAAGAAAAAGGTTGGATGAGTTGTCACGTTCTTATTGGTTGTTCAGATTTCTTCCTTGCACATCATCATTTTAAGTGGATAACTGTCAAACCCACGCCGTTTTGATTAGGGGTAAAAGAGTCTTTTAGCATTTCCGGTAATGGGAGTTGACCGGAATGTCCTTGATTGCAACAAATTAATAGTTCGAAGGGGGTTTGTTGTAGTTCAGGGGGGTTTGTTGCAAAACGCTAATAGTTGAAGGGGGGTTTTGCACTTTACCCTTGAAAATATTCAAACAAGAGAGTTGTCTCAGAGATCAAAAAGGTCTCTCTCAAAAACATTGAATAATCCCTTTTATTATAAGTTTAGTTAATGGTCCACATCCAGGATAGTTAAAACTATTTCATAGATAAAAAGATTAACAAAATAGCTCCTAAGGGAGTGCAACACTACAGATATGGAGCCAGAGGCAGAGAAGCCACATAGAAGAGCCATATTCTCATCTCTCCTCCAAAAAAGGAAAATGATATGTAGTCCGACAGTTGGACTAATCCGACTGTTTTATGCGAGTTGGGGAGATGCGTCAGACTTTCGGATGTTGTATTTGTATCACGACTCTCCACGACTCTCCAAAAATTAACAAAAGAATAAGACTTTCTAGAACCAAAAGTACAGGGTGCTTAATATCATATATTACGATTGCGGGATCAGTAATTCTAAGCACTCAAAAGAACGCTTATTCCACTCCTTCCAAAGACTCCACGAAAGACGCAATCTGCCACTTAAAGAAATAATTTGGCCTTCCTGGGCATGCCACACCTCGTTTGACTACTTAAACCTCAAGCACTTTGTTGGGAACTGCTTAATGAACCCTTAAAGGGAGACAAGAAAATCCCCCAACTCCCTAAGCGTTAGGCAAAACAAAAAAAAATGATGCATTGCTTTCTTAAGATCCTTCATGGGTTTTTTAAGCCATTCGATCAATTTATTTTTATGATCAAATCTTCAAAAAAAAAAAAAGCTACCAAAACCTACACTAGAATACTCTTCTTTGTCAATTCTGCACAATCAATTTATGCTATTGTAATCACACACACTTTGCTCTCCTTTTTTTCTTTTCTTTTTATTTTTCGTTTTTATTTATTTATTTATTTATTATTATTATTATTATTATTTTTTATACGTACTATTTGTCTCTCTCTCTCTCTCTCTCTCTCTTTTTTTCATCCCAAAAACATAATTCTTAGCCCTAGGATATCCTATATCCTTTTAGCTTCTACTTAACAACCCAAAGTCCAAACCCACGATTAGGTGAACAATTTGATGGATGTCTAGAGATATTTAATTTATAGAGGAAACAAAGGAACCTTTATTTATTTATAACTTGGAGTTCACAGTAGAAGTTTTATTTTTCTTTTTTCTTTTTTCCCCTAATAAATGGATTATGTTCTCATCCTCCATTTAGAAATCAGTTTATTCTAGATCAGCAAACTTCCACAGCGAGAGCTTTTGTCCTTTCTTGTGCACCACCGTAGTTCTAAAAAAAGTTTCTATCAAATCTTTACATAACAGAGGCACATCAAACATCTTTTAAAAAAAAAAAATCATCATCACATATCACCACCACCACCACGACGAACCCCATGCTCCATTATAGTTTTTGTTGTTTTCAGAAAAACTAGAGAAAATCAGTTTTCTTTGTCATTGTTTTTTGCTGTATCTACCACAAAGCATACATTTAGTCCGTCTATATTATCTAAATTATATTAAAATAACTGTGATTGACATGAAAATGAAATAAAAAATAACATATGCTTGATTAAGAATGTTCAACATGAGACCATTTCATTTATGATTCTCAAAGAGTGGATAATTAACCAAAATACCAATTCAAGCGTTAGTCCATCAAATAACAATTACAGTAAGCCCAATTAAAAATTAAACCTATGAATAGATAGTAAAAAGAAAAATAACTAAACAGTCAGTGAATAATATCAGGATCATATTTACTAAATTTGATTTCAAGTTTTTATATTCATGCAGCAGAAAATAAGCATAGGTTTAAATAGCGATTAAAACCACAATTAAATAACAAAATACGAACCCACATGTCTTACCAGATATAAAGAATCTAGTTGGTCTCTGATTTCAGAGTTTCTGAAGGAGGCGGCAATGCAGCACCATTATGTGGCAACTTCGACAGCACAGGTCTCTCTCCGGAGAAATCCAACCCCTCTGCCTTCCCAAACAATTGTTTCCTCAGAACTTCATGCAAATGCCCAAACAATTCCTTCTTCAGTGACTCAAACGCCAAATCCAGCCTCTCCAACTGCTCCATTGCATTCTTATTATACATAAACAACCCATAATACAAATCAAAGCTGTCACTTGCTGTATTTTCGACCAAATTCAACAGAGTCTCATACCCTTTTGTGTTAATTGGAGTAGCATCCAACCTCAACTTCTCCAGAATCCTCCCCATTGTGTGTGTGATAAATTGCGACCCAGCAGCATGCCGGTCGTGCTCTGCACATAACATCTCCACCATCCTACAACCTTCTTTTGCAAAAATTTCAAGAAATCTGTCACACCTCGAAACCCTAGACTCCTCATCCCCAACCCTAACCCTATCATACACAAATGGAAGCCCAGTCCAACCATCCTTTCCACTCTCGGGTCCAAACATAGGATGTGTACACAGAATATCAAAATCCACTGGCAATATTTGCATAAACAAGCTCCTAGGGAACTCTTTCACTGACAATACATCAACAAACAGTGTACTTCGCTTTAACCTCTGTAACGGCAATGAACGAAGAACATTTTCGGTTGAAATTATAGAAGTACAGACGAGGATTACCTCGGGATGTTCTTCGCAGAGATCATCCGCGTCGGAGAAGAAAGAGACGCCGAGTTTGCTGGCGATGTCGGAGTAGTCGGATCGAGAATGGGCCAGGACGGTGTGGCCTTGGCGGACTATGGTTTTGGCGAGGAATTGGCCGAAGTTGCCGAAGCCAATGATGCCGATTTTGAGCTTGGTGGATTTGGCGATGCGATCGGAGATCTGGGACTCGTAGTCGAAGGGCTGGGCGGCGTCGAGAGAGTGAATTCGGAGGCGTCGGTGAGAGGTTGAGGAGGTAAGGGGGTTGAGAGGGAGGCGATGGGGTGGAGGGGAGAGAGAGAAGCGGCGATAGGGATTTGGGAGGGAGTTGGAGGGAAGGGAGGAGCGGGAAGTAGTAGAAGGTTGGAGAGAGGAGAGAGAAAGCATATTTATATATGTGTGCGTATATATATAGATAGAGAGAGAAGCACTGGAGAAGACGACGGAGATTTGCAGCGGTGGAGTTGAAGACGGAAGAGGGAGCTTGGCGGACTTGGTGTTGCGCTGTCGGTGGTCGTAATTTGGAAGTGATTGGGAAATGAAACGTACTAGTCCGTCCTGCAGTTTTTGGTCACGTGGAGGTTTTTTGTTTTAGCATGTGGAGGTTTAATTATTACTGTAATCCGTATGGAGTATTATTATTTTCATGTTGCATTGCTGGTTTTTACTTTTCTGGGTTAGTGACAAAAAAATAAAATAAAATTCCTGGCAAAAAATTATTTGGTTGTCAATTTAAAAAAATTATTTTTTAAGAACTGAATTAAAAAATAGAGTAAAGTACACTCACACTTTCTAAAGTTTGACAAAAGGATACCTAGAAAAAATTTAGCTATTTTTTGGATAAAGACACCCCCTAAAGTTTCAAAAATGGACAAAGACACCCCTTTACATGAAAAATTAACCAAATTACCTTTTAACAGTTTAGGAGACTTTTTAATTTTACAATTTAATAAATTGGACTAATCTACTCTCATGATCAATTTATGCATAAAAAAAAAACTTTATATTGTTCATTTTTTTTTTTTTTAAATAACCCAACTTCTTAAAAATGTAAACGTCTAAATTGATTTTTTGATCCGATACATATATTTCAAATAAATTATATTTTATTATTACTTCTTTTCTTTTTTCTTTTTTATTTTTAAATTAAGATGCATCTAAAAAAATTAAATCAATCTTTTTTCCTTAAAAATAAAAAATATGGTACCAGTATAACTTTATGCATCTTAAATTATATATCAAATATTATGCATTTCCCAACATAAAAAGGGAAAAAACAATAATAACAAAACAAAGGAAAAAAAAAAAAAAAACAAAACAAAACAAAGGCACGCATAAAGTCAAGATGCATATAAAGTTATACTAGTAACTATTTTCTTTTATGTTGGAAAATGCATAATATTTGATATATAATTTAAGATGTATAAAGTTATACTAGTACCATATTTTTTATTTTTAAATAAAGGAGATTGGTTTAATTTTTTTAAATGAAAGAATTAAGCATCTTAATTTAAAAATAAAAAAGAAAAAGAAAATAAATAATAACAAAATATAATTTATTTGAAATATATGTATTGAATCAAAAAATCATTTTAGACGTCTACATTTTTAAGAAGTTAGGACAATTATAAAAAAAAAAAAAAAAAAATGTAAACAATATAAAGTTTTTTTTTTTATTCATAAATTGTTCATGAGGGTAGATTGGTTCAATTTATTAAATTATAAAATTAAAAAAGTCTCATAAAAGTTCAAAGGGTAATTTGGTTAAAAAACAAGTAAGTTTCCTCTAAGTGCTTTTTTACCGAACCTCAGGGGTGATTTATCCTAAAAAATAATATTGTACTCTATTTTCAAAAAATAAAATTAAACAGGCTCATTTTATCTACCATGTTCTAAGCCTGTAGCTCGGTTTGTTTAAAGCCCGTAGCCCACCATCATAAAGCCCAAGGTCCAGGTTCAGAATTAAAAAACTACGTACATAAGCCCAGCCCTGCCCTGCCCGTTATGCACCCTCACCCAGACAAAGCTGAAACACACTTTTATCTTTAAATGTACTTTCTTATTCCTCTCTCCCTGATCTGCTTTCTCTCTCTTTATCTTCCCCGACAATAGATCCAGTTTGAACGTTCAGATCTAGAGTTCTCTTTCACTCTATTGGACTCTCCTTCGTTTCCTGTTTCTCTCCCCACCGGCCGAAGGAACTAAGGTATGATTTCTTCTCCATTTTTATTCATGATTTTGAAACTCCAATTTCTCATTATTTTTTTTTCTTTCCCTAAAATTTTGTTTTCGTCATTTTCAGAATTTTAAAATTACTCATTTTGAATACCTGATTTGATTCGTATGATATTGGTTGTTTAGTTTCATGTGTATGGGTTAGATGGCTTTCACCTTGATCCTTGCTAACAATTGAACAACCCCATACCGAAAAATTCCTTTTGAGTTTTTTTTTTCCCCAAAATTCCTCCATTATTTCTTCTAACCCCACTTTAGATTTATTTACTAGCAGAAAAATTCGTTTTATATATTTATTTTTATTTTTGTGTGTTAAGATAAATTATAATGCCTTGGGTTGGAAGCCATTAATGATTAACCCGGTCATGCCATAGATGTGGAAGGATGGAAACTTTCTGGGTGGTTTATAGGTGTATTTATTCTATGAATAATGATAGAGGAACCGAAATATTAGCCTACCGAACCTGACAGGCCAAGCGACGTCAGATTGTTTAACGTTTAGGAGAATAAAACTTCCTCTCTCTGAGTCACTTGGAAAAAAGAAAGAAAAGAAAAATGCTGGTTGAAGATCAACGACGGGGAGGGCGTATCCCGGCCAAGACTAATTTCCCATGCCTGAGAAAAGGGAAAAACAAAACCCCTTGAAGATCGTGATAAGAGAAAGCTAAGGAAGTTGGGAAGATGCTGGATTGGGTTGAAATCATTTGTTATGTCCTGGTCCTCACCATCACTATGGGTAGAAATATAAACACAATTTTGTGAAATTTGTTCTTCAATCACTTCCATTGGTTTTTGTTTCATGATTGCATTAGCAAGCAACTAAGAAATATCTAGAGTCAAAACAATCTCACCACTCTCTATCACAAAGTTTACCCAAATGATAATTCAGAAATGTAGAATGTGTCCATGGCAAATCATCATGAATTGTCCTACAGATTATTTTGCGAATGTGGGTGATGTTGACTCTTCACTACAATTGCGAATGTGGGTGATATGGACTCTTCACTACAATTCCCTATTATTGCTATTATTCATATTTTGCTCCGGCAGGAGAAATTAGTCTTGGCTACGCCACCGCTAAACTGCCAGCGGCGGCGGTGTACGCTCTCCATCCCCTCCTCCTCCGCCGTCTCCAGTAACCTAACGCAGCAGCAGCGTTGGTTTAATGTTTAAACAAGGCTACGTCAGGTTCGGTGAAAGTTTTGGACTAATATTTTGGTTCCCTATCATTACTCTTATTCATTTATCATTTTAGGTAGATGGTGACTTTTTGGGCGGTGTACTGTAGTAATGTTTGCTTGCAACAGTATCATTTTTTTACCTTAGGTAGGTTTGGTCGGTCTTTTCCTAAAAAAATACATATTAACTTATTATTATTATTATTATTATTATTAAGGTTAAGCAAATGGCATATGTATTTACATAAGTTTGGGCTAGCCTAATAATACAAAAGATATGTAAACAAACAGTAAGGCCCATGGCCCAAACAAATGGACTGAGCTAGATATTTCGTTTCTGCCACACATTTGGGTAACTACCCACCTTAACGATTTTTATAGGAATATATTTTTAAGGTTTTGAAATTAGAAAAGAAAAAAAATGCTTAGATATATGTACAATGTTAGAATTTTACATGTCTTGTCGTATTTGATTTCTGTAGAATTTTTTTTTGATAAATCTTTTAGGGTATCAATAAATATTTTATTATAGAAAAATCTTTTTTATGGTTCCCAATAGATTCTCTACTATTTTCGATAAACCTTTTAGAGTATCAATAAATATTTTACTGTTTGAAACTGTCACATATATTATTTTGTCACACCACTCAAACACAATTGTTACACGTTAAAACATTGTCATACTACCTCAGCACTGAATCTCTTTTGACCCTCATAATCTCTTTAGTCCCTCAACAACCATCTTCTCAAAACTTACCTCTTCTGACCCATATCTGCTCCCTCAACAACCATCTTCCCCTCTACTCAACACTCATCTCTTTTGCCCTTCATCATCTGTTGACTCTGATCTTGTATGCTAGGGACAGTTGGTCCTTAATGCTTTGTTTGGTTGGAGGGATGAAAAAACGGAGAGAAGGGAGAGGGGAAGGGATGTACGAGGCATCCCTAGGAAAAGGAAAGTGTCTCTCTCATTTTTTTTTGTTTTGTTGAATGAAATAGATAGTAGAAAGGATGGATGTAGCAACACTTTTTTTTTATTTGGTTGGAAGGAAGGTAAAGAAGGTTTTATATTGTTTTTACTAATATACACATTATATAAAATTATAAAAATTATATATCCATTACAAATTAGGCAACAAGGTTAAAAATGAAAATTAAAAATTTGTTGGTTATTATACTTCTTTCTCTCTCCTATTCTCCCCAATTTTGGCCAGATAGAAAATTACAAAGGAAGGATCATCCCTCCTTGCTTCCTCCCTCTTTTCTCTTCGCTTCAACCAAATACAAAAAAACACTTCTTTTATACCCCCTCATCCATCCCTCCTTAATCCTTCCCTTTAACCAAACAAAACATAGCACAAGTCTATTTCACGATATCATCTACAACAAAAATTTCAATGGATTTCACGAAACATTCTTTTTAAGGCAAGTTTTGTAGAGAGAGGTTTCTTCTAATGAGAATTTTTAGTTTTCATTTTTTTCTCCAACTAAAAGGATAGATACTTTTGGGTTTCTATGATCATTTCATGTAAATTTTTATTATTATTATAAGAATCAAGTGTGATCACCTCTACTACCCACCTAAACTCCTTTTAGTATTAATAGATAATTATTATTTTTGTTTGTTTACATATCTGTTAGGCTGCTATTTTTTTGCCCTAGATGGAGATATAGATAGAGTGGCCTTTTTGAGGATTCTTATTGTAACATGCATCTATCTTGACTCGGATAGACCTCAAGATTTATTCTCTAGTAGGTTACCTTCTCTCTGAACAACAAAAACCCAATGCACGCGTAAATATTCAGCTATGGATTTCTTTTAAAAAATTCAGCTATGCTTCCCTATTTTTTTTGTCCTCGTTCATCAATCTACATTCTTAACTGAAATTTATGCCATGAATTTCCTCCATGAACAAGGACAAAAAAAAAAAAAATTATGCTTGGCATAAATTTTGGTCAAGAATGTAAATTGATGAACGAGGACAAAAAAAAAATGGGAAGCATAGCTGAATATTTGAAAAGAAATCCATAGCTATTTACATGTGCATTGGGTTTTTGTTGTTTAGAGGGAAGGTAACCTACTAGAGAATAAATCTTTTCGGCCATGCAAAGTCATTTGATTCAAGAAGGGGTCTATCCGACACAAGATAGATGCATGCTACGATAAGAATACCCGTAATACGAAGATTGGCAAGGCAATGTGTTGTACCATTTGAGTGAGAGAATCCCGATGAACTTGACTCGCTCGAGCAGGCCGAATTCTTTGCCTTGAAAAGGTCTGCTGTTGTTGCTGTGACAGTCGAAAACAATCACCAACTTCTTATCGCCCCCTCTTCATAGCCCCTCAAAAATAGTTTTCAACTGTGGAGGCGTATTAAATGCCACGTGCCCTGGCAAAAAGGGTAGAGAGCCCTGTTGCACATACCCTAAATGTTATGGGTTAGTTTTATAGTGCTCCTTTTTCTTTATTTATAAATTTTATTTTTTTATGTTATATTATCAAAAAAGTACTTATAAGTACTATTTTAAGTTTTAACAGTCAATAGCAGCAGACTATTGTGCTCAAACCACCATGGAGGGAGTGCCCTGGTACAAAAAAAGAATGCAGCATGTAAGCATGTAAGTTATCAACAAGCTATTTTTTATCAACAAGGAATGATGGTCTCATGGTATCAGGACATCTTCTCCATCAACTTGTCTGGACCAAGCGCTTTTGCGTCAATCTATACCTCGATTTGGTCCCGTCTTAAAATGCAAAGAACTTAACAACAAATTTGTAACAGGTCAATCCCTTCATGGCGGTTTGACTCGCAGCGGACTATTGTGCTCAAACCGCCATGAAGGGAATGCCCTGTTACAAATTTGTTGTTGAGTTCTTTGCATTTTAAGAGAGGACCAAACCGAGGTAGAGATTCACCCAAAAGCACAAGTTGATGGAGAAGATGTCCTGATACGTCAGGGTAAAGACCATCATTCCTTGTTGATAAAAAATAGCTTCTTGATAAATTACGTGCTGCATTCTTTTTTTATTTATTTGTTATTTTTTATCATTAAATAGATAACAATCAATAGCAGCGGACTATTGTGCTCAACGACCCCACTGGTGTGGCAAGGTGTTATCACCATCCTAGATTTTCTCTCTTTGCTAAATCTCATTTACTTTATCTCTCATTTCCCTTGTTGTATTTGATTTGCTATTTTGTTTGTGTCAAATGAAATGACACAGAGACATAAGGTTAGCTTAAAATTGCATATAACAGTATTTTTGTTTGCATTTGCTGATATGATTTCAACCTTCCCGGATGAATTTGATCGCAAGGGAGGATCCAAGCAATGAAGATTCGCTGATGTAACAGAATTTCTCTCCCTCCCTCTCTCTCTCTATATAGATGTTATAGCATTTACTTGAAATACTGAAAAGTGAAGGGGAAGGACAAATTAGGAATTGCAATTTCTGTGTTTGATGCCTTCTTGTGTGGATTGAACTTCACTGTCTTCCATTCTTGAAGATTTTAGTATGTCTCCTCGGGTAATAGAAGATGGAACACCCCAAACATACCTGCATACTTGATGTAATCCTTTATCATATGAACCCTCTTCTAAAATAAGTGCACTTATGGTTTCACAGTCCCTTGATTCTTAATTTTTTAAATGTTCTTTTACTGTGGTTGTCTTTGATTTTGTGCATTAGGTTGGTGAGTTTTGACAGAAAGAACCGGAGGAATTGCCCCCTTGAATATATATTTTTTATTATTACTATTATGGCCCACTATTTTTGTCATTCTGATATATATATATATATATAAATGAAATATTACCTTTGCTCCCCCTAAAATTATTTTAAAAATTCAGTGTTGCCCCCCTCCCTTGAGTTTCTGAGTTGTCCCTAGTTATCATCAGTCTCGCTTTATCAATTGTCGTTATGATGAGACAACGTCTTACTCTAATATTAGGAAGTTAGAGGATGTTGAATCTTTCGGATGTTTTCTTCTAAAAAGCACTTTACAATATGGAGTGTTATGGTAGTGGTATAATTCTCTGAACTTGGTTACTACTTACTACTAATTCACAAGTATTATATGGGTTTTTTTTTTTTTTTTTTGGTGTTGGAAACCATTGTTTTTGTTTTCTGGTATTGTGTTATTGGGGTGTAAAGAAATTTAGTTTTTTGGGCGATACAAAATTATAGATTGATGAATAGAGGAGAAATAATTGGTGATGCGTGGCATCATTATTGTAAGAACCACTGCACAAGGAAAGTCTTACTAATATTTGCATCTCCATAATGCCGTCTCTAAATAAAATTTTTCCTAGATAACACAGATACCAAGATAAATATTTCTTCTTTTTTAGTTGTTTTTTAATATACTATTTATGTTTTGATTTAAGTTTTTCAATTTGATATGGTAGTCTGAAATTTTGTTTGTCTTACGGGCCTGGCCCATTTGACCCTTGATCCATTTATGACCTACTTTTGATGGGTAAATAATGAGTTACTACGTCCATTCAAAATCGGTCCAAAACTCATCCAAACCCTCTCGATTGACACCCTAGATGTGATTACTAAATTTTAAAGGCAGGATTGTACTGTTAGCAAAGAAGTGATGTATGTGATGGTATGTCACTATTTGTATTTTTGGGGCTAATAAACTTTTGTAGAAGAGTTTTTGTTAAAAAACTTGTGGGAAGAGTAGTGCGGGCTAAATAATAATGTATTTTTGGGGCTAATAAACTTTTGTACATAATGATGTAATTCTGGGGCGAATAAACTTTTGTACAAGAGTTTTGTAAAAAACCCCATTGGGTCTGTTTAATAATTCTTTTACTTTCTTACTTTTACTTTATTCAAAAGTAAAATCAAAAGATGAAATAGAAAGTAAAATGATGTTTAATAAGAAGATTTTATTTTTAATATTTTGAAAGTGAAAAACAAAAAGTAAGTTTAATAATTTTGATTTTAATATTGCTTTTCTATTATCTTTCTCTTTCAGCGGTGGACTAAACTTGGTCTGCTCCGGGGAGCCATTATTCAATTGGGTCTCTCAACCCAGATGTAAGGTGTAAATTGGGTATTTCAACTTGCCTCTCCTCCGATATTCAATTGGGTTTGGAGACCACATGAAGACAAATAAATCTCTATGAACTCTCTCTTTCTCTCTCTCTAACACCGAATTCGTAGAGTAAAACTGTAAAAAAACAATTAGTGAACCAGAGATTCCCAAAGATCTACAAGCACTTTCTTGAATTCTGTTTAAAAAAAAAAAAAAAAAAAAAAAAGAAGCCTAGAAGAACTTGAAGGCTCAAGATTTTGTTGAGAAAACCACGTAATAATGTAGAAAAATTTCGAACCAAACAAGCAATTAATCACAAGATAGAGCTACAAACACAAAAATCGATCGAGTATTTTAATGAATCTCTACGCTAAAATGAACTCAGAGAGAATTTAGAGAGAGAGAGAGAGAGACTATTATTACAGAGAATCTCTGGTTTTCATGCATTCAAAGAACCTTCAATTTTACAAAGCACAAACTCAGAGAGAGAAAAAAGGGATTTAGAGAGAGAAAGTATGAGTGAGTTTAGAGAGAAACATATCTCGTCTCAGAGATCTCGTCCTTGTTCACTCTTGCCATGACACCAACAAACAGCAACAGAAGCAGAAACGAACACAGAGAAATTCACTTTTTAGAACCGCCATTGCCATTACACAGTCGCAGAGATCCCCTTCTTTTTCTCTCCCTAAACTATCCTTACTTTCACTCTCTAAATTGGAACCAAATAACAGATAGAGAGTGTGGGTGCAATTTCTCACACCCGAACACTTAGAGAAACAAATCAAAAGAAAATATACAAAATATTGATGAAACAATTAGCAATTTTTGAAGAGAATAACAATGATGGGAATTCGACGATCTTTCATTTTCATTCAGGCTCTATTTATAAGCTTTTTTCAGAGAATTTATATGGACCCGTTTTCTGGCTTTATTCCCAGACGTGGGTATTTATGCCTACTTATCGTGTGCATACTTTTATGGCAAGCGTTATGGACTTATGGACCTGTCGAGATTGGGCTATCCATTCGGCTTTTATGTCAAGTGAAGCTTCCTTTATTTAATTGGGCTGAATTGGCATATGTATATGGCTTCTGTTGTTGGGCTTCCAACTGATGGTGGGCTTCCGAGTGTTTTTAGTTTAGTAACGGGCTGCTCTTTTGATGCCATGTGGTGTGTTAGGATTGGTGGGGGGTTTTTTCCTCCATATTTTGCTCCCGATTCTTTTTATGAATTCGATTCATATAAGGAATTATAATTGCTTTTGGAAAGTGGAAAAGTTTTTGCGGCTATTACTGCCTGTCATTACCATTTGTACTGCTTATTTTAGGGTCTTGTGCTCGCCTTTTCGTTATCCGCCTCTCTTTGCTTATATATTGTGTTCTCGTCATTTGGGTGTCTGCACCTGTGATCTTGTTCCCGAGTTTTAGTGAGAGTCCGATTATTGCTACAACATCTCCTTTCATCCGTCGAGGTTAGTCTTTCTTTTGTTCCCTCTTTCTTACATTATGAGTTAAGAAAGTAGCGAACGAACTCAAAGTGTTCAAATGTCTAATTCTTAGTCGGGGACTGGGGCGGCGAGTCTGAGTGATTATGCCAAGGGTCCCATAATCCTCCCTGTGGATATTGTAGAAAAGAAGTCTTTTTCAATTGCTCAGTTGAGAAAGAAAAATTGCGTTCCTTCTGACGTTACTCTTAAGAAGTACAACCATGATTTGAATTTTAGTACAGGCGAGGGTTTGGAGGAAGGCAAGATGCCCTTTTCGGCTTTACATTTTCCTGCCTTTCGATTTCCCCTTAATCCTTTCTACCTTCAAGTCCTGTCGGTGTTGAATTTGGCTCCCATCCAGATTAACCCCAATTTTTTTCGCATCCTCTCATGTCTTTTTGCTTTGAATAGGGTTTGAGGTTTGACTTTGAATCTTGCCAATCTTTTGCTTTGCTATACACTTGATAAAACGAAGGGTGGAGAGGGCAGATTTCACTTTCATTCTAAGCCGGGTAAGGCTCTTTTCTCTCACCTTAACACTTCTGACAAGGAGTGGAAAGACAAAATTGTTAAAGTCGGAGGGCCGTGGCGATCTTCGTTTGCTCGAGATTTATTCGTTTGATCGAGCTTTCATGCCCTATTCGTTCTTGCACTTGATGATTCGGGTGAGTCTTCCTGTTTTGTCTGCATCATAAGGCATTTTTGCTACATTTATGGTTTCTTGGGTCACAAAACTGACTTTTTCTCTTCGAAATTTACAGATAGCCGTCTTGTTTATTTGCAGGAGAAAGTCTGGAGCGACGTTCCTTCTACTAGGGTTCTGCTCTCCTCTTCTCTTCTTGAGACAATCTATAGAGATTCTCCAATGATTGTTTGAAATCCTAAGGAGCCCATTGACCTTGAGGCTTCTAATTCCGAGGCTAGCTTTTTATTGCCTGCCCCTTTCTCTTTCTCAATCAGCGATGGAACTTCCTCCTCTAAAACCTCGTACAACTAGGAAAGAGAGGGAGGCAGCTGCCAAGTTGCTGCAGGAGAGAAAGAACATCCTTGTTGAGGCGAGTAAGCTCCCCTCATCTCAAAAACAGAAAGGGATTCAGTTAGGGATCAAACGTTATTCTACAAATGATAATTCTCCTTCGTAGCGCCCCAAATTTATGGCTGGGGCTTTCGGGGGCAAACGTGCCCTAATTCCTTGTGCTGCTGACGTTGCCGAGGGTGATTTTGCGGGGTCCACTAAAAAATGGTTCCCTGAAATGCTGAAGGCTGATGGTTTTCCTCTTATCACCATCGGCGATTCTGGGGCTAAAGACCCGAAAACGCTGATGGGTTTAGCCAGAAGGATGTGGCCGCCCAAGGACGAGATTTTGCAACAACAGATGAGTGTCGACGATCTGCTTTCTCTTGCTCCCAAATCTATAATAGAGGTAATCTTTCCGACTCCTCTTTCCTTCTTTTTTTATATATTGGTTCCTTGACAATCCTCTGTTATTTTTCCACAGAGCTCTTTCTTGATGTTTGCTCTTATGAAAAAGTTGTCAGTTGACTCCCTTCAGGCGAATCAGACTGCCGCTCTTCAAAAGAAGGTGGGTCTTTTGGAGGCTTCTCTTGCCGAAGCGAAGAAGGAGAAGATCCAGCAGCTCAAGTCAATTGAGTATTTTGACAAGAGGGCCAAGGATCTCGAAAACAAGGCGGCTGAGCTTGACTTACAGCTCGGAAAAGCGAATTCTCTTATTCAAACCTGTAAGGATGGGGGTTTGGAGATATTCAACCGCTTTTCTCAGATTGCGAACCTTCGCTACGCTAAAGGCTTTAGGCTTGGCTTTGTTCGTAGCTTCCCTCTGAAGAGAGAAATTATGGTAATGCTGATGAGCATAATGCTGAGCAGGGGCTCTTGGTTGCTAGTGAATATACTGATCCCTCAGCTAGCCCTAGAGAGAACGAGTTCACTGCTCTACTAAAGGGCGAGGTGGTTACCAAGGTTTTGCCTCCTCTCCAATATCCTTTGGGCTCTCAAGGGTTACCTACTCTGTCGTTTGATGCCGCTTCCTCTACTCTAGTTAGGGTAGAGTTGGGTGGCGCCTTTTTTTTTTTTTTTTTTTTTTTTTTTTTTTTTTTTTTTTTTTTTTTTTTTGAGGTGTAAGGTATGTCCTACCTCGTTTGTAAAAACTTCCCCCCCCCCCTCCCCCTCTTTTTTAAGGATATGAAAGTTTCTCTTGCAACTTTCGAGATCATTTTTGCTTGAGCTCCTTCTTATGATTTGATTTTGATGCATTTGTTTATTTATGTGACTGGTTTTTGTGGCCGTTCGACTTTTTTGGGCTTGACCATTTTTATGATCAAATCTGATTGGGCGTTCGGCTCTTGGGGCCTTTGCCTATTTTTGTAATCGGTTCTTGTGACTGTTCGATTTTTTGGACTTGATCAATTTTCTGACCAAGCCTGATTGGGTGTTCGCCTCTTGGGACCTTCGCCTATTTTTGCGATCGGTTCTTGTGACCGTTCGATTATTTTGGACTTGATCAATTTTTTAACCAAATCTGATCGGGTGTTCGGCACTTGGGGCCTTCGCCTATTTTTGCGATCGGTTCTTATAACCGTTCAGTTTTTTGGACTTGATCAATTTTTTGACCAAATCTGATCGGGCGTTCGACTCTTGGGGCCTTCGCCTATTTTTGCGATTGGTTCTTATGACCGTTCGACTTTTTGGACTTGATCAATTTTTTGACCAAATCTGATCTGGTGTTCGGCTCTTGGGGCCTTCACTTATTTTTGCGATCGGTTCTTGTGACCGTTCGACTTTTTGGACTTAATCAGTTTTTTTACCAAGCCTAATCCAGCGTTTGGCTCTTGGGGCCTTCGCCTATTTTTGCGATCGGTTCTTGTGATTGTTCGATTTTTTGGACTTGATCAATTTTTTTATCAAGCCTAATCGGGCGTTTAGCTCTTGGGGCCTTCGCCTATGTGTGTGTGTGTGTGTGTGTGTGTGTGTGTATGGGTCTATCCGTTAACAATGGGTCGTAACAGGTCTCCATTTTTAAGGGAGTTAACCCGTTGATATTGAAACCGAATGATTTTGTTTTATCAATGGAGAAAATATTTTTTTCCTATTCAGAGTGGGATACTGATTTTAAAGGAAATTATTTATCCCAAAAGAAAGTGGGGAAGGCTTTGAATTATGGACCCTCTGATAATGGGCTGGGACTATCCATGGGTCTCATAATTCAAGGCCTCACCCGCTGGTTTTATACCCAATGGGTCATGCTTTAATAATAAAGGAATCTTTTCCTTTTTTGTCAATGTGGGATCTTGAGTTCTAAGAATAGGAAAACATCTTTTCGTTTGAAAAAGATGTGGGGAGTGTGTAGAGACCTCTGACAGTGGGGCATTTCGATGTCGTAAATGGGTTCCCATTGTCAATGGGTCCCACACACTGATAAGTAAGTAAGTGAGTAACCTTATAAGGAAAGCTTAGAAGTTTATCTTTTAAGCGATGTGGGACATCATTTCCTGTGAGTGAAGAAGTTTTATCTTTCTATAATAAGATTAAAAAGTATGAAATGGAGACCCTTGATAGTGAGTCCCATTGTGGGTTGCCTACTATTAGGGGTCCACTCCATTGTTTTTATTTTGTGTTATTTTATTTTAAATAACGATTAGAAGTTTTGTTTTTATCCGATGTGAGACTTTCAAAAAAGACAAATGACAACATTATTTGTTCAAAAGTAAAGTACTAGAAAGCAATGTACAATTACTTTATTGAAAGTACCTTTTCAAATTCATTGCATTCCTTGGTTTGGCTATTTTGGTGCCATCCAGGTGTTGGAGTCTGTAAGCTCCTTTTCCAATCACGTATGAGATTCGGTATGAGCTTTCCCAGTTAGGTCCCAATTTGCCAACATACTTTTATGATTTCAGGAGCACCAGGTCTCCTGGATTAAAACTTCTTCCTCTGGCTCTTTTGTTGTAGTTATTTGTTATCCTCTGTTGATAGGCTGCTAGTCGAATGTCAGCCGCTTCTCTTTTCTCTTCCAAGAGATTTAGATTGCGCTCCAAGAGTTGATTATTTGACCTTTGCTCCCAGGTTAAGCTTCGGATGGTAGGTGCTACCATTTCGGTGGGAATTACGGCTTCGGTTCCGTAAGCTAAAATGAAAGGAGTCTCGCCGATGAGGCGTCTCGGAGTAGTTCTGTATGCCCATAGGACATTTGGCAATTCGTCTAACCATTTTTCCTTCTTATCCTCGAGCTTCTTTTTGATGCCGGCAAAGATTGTTGTGTTAGTTATTTCTGCTTGCCTATTACCTTGTGGGTGATATACAGCCGATTTTTTTTTTATTGACTCCGTATTTGTCGAAGAAACGCTGAGTGTGTCGATTATCCAAATTTGGTCCAATGTCCATAATGATGGATCTTGGGATTCCGAATCTACATATTAGATTGTTCCAAATGAACTTTTTCACTTGGACATTAGTTACACTGGCGTATGCTTCTGCCTCTACCCATTTGGTGAAATAATCAGTAGCCAATAGGATGTACCTTTTTTGTGACACAGCTGTAGGTAGAGGTCCTACTACGTCCATTCCCCATTGGGTGAATGGCCATGGGCTGCTCATGGTGTGCATTTTTTCTAGGGGCTGATGGACAAGAGAGGCATATCTTTGGCACTTGTAGCATCTTCGGGAATATTCTTCTGCTTCTCTTGCCATGTAGGGCCAGAAGTAGCCTTGAGTCAGAGCTTTGTGAGCTAAAGATCTGCCTTCGGAGTGATTCCCACATTCCCCTTCGTGCAGTTGTTTTAACACTTCCCTAGACTCCATAGGGGTTAGGCATTTGAGGTAGGGTCCAGAATGCAATCACCTAAAGAGCTGTCTTCCTACAATTGAGTATTTGGCAGCCTTTATTCTTAATTGTCGGGATGCTTCCTTGGAATTTGGAGTTCCCTTCTTTCAAGGTAAGCTAGTATAGGATCTATCCAACTTGGTTCCCATGGGATGACTAATACCTGCATTCTTTTTGCGATACTTGGTGTATTTAGGACATCAATGGGGATGACTCGGGTTAGTGATTCGTCTGCTATGGATGCTACGCAGGCTAGGCGATTGGCCATCGGGTTATCTTCCCTCAGGATTTGCTGAAACTCAACTGTGTCGAAGTACTTCGCTAGTTTTTCAACCTCTTCTCAGTACACACACATTCTTCTTTCTTTAGGGATATACTCTCATGTCACCTATCTGGTGATGAGTTGTGAGTCACTATAAACTCTAAGATGTTTTACTTGGAGTTTCTTGGCCAGTCTGAGCCCCGCCAATAGTGCCTCGTATTCTGCTTCATTGTTCGTGGTCGGGAATTCTAATCGGATCGACTGTTGGAGTTTGGTCCTCTAGGGAGTTCTTATTTCCAAACCTGCCTCGGCTCCGTTCTGGCTGGAGGAACCATCGACGTATAACTCCCAGCAAGGGTTTTCTGTGACTTGTTGCTCTTCTCCTAGATCAGTATCCAAGAGAAAATCAACAATCACCTGTCCCTTCTTCGCGGTGTGTGATTCGTACTGAATGTCAAAGGAGCTCAACTCAATTGCCCATTTGGTAATTTGACCTGATAGATATAGTTTACTGAAGATTGCTCTGATTGGATGCGTTGTGGGAACTATTATCTAATGAGCCTCGAAGTAATGCCGAAGCTTTCTTTTAGCGTGGACTAGGGCGAGGATGATTTTTTCTGCCATTGAGTACCTGTTTTCTACGTCAGTCATGGCCTTGCTAGAGTAGAAGACCGGGTGTTGCTTTTTTCCCACTTCTCTTGCTAGAGCCGAACTGGTCGCTGATTGAGATATTGCTAGATAAAGGTACAATGGTTCTTCGGGCTCCGGGGCAGATAAAATTGGGGGATTTGTTATGTACTCTTTGAGTTTTGCGAGAGCTTCTCGTTGCTCTGCCCTCCAAATTTCTCCTTTTCTTACTTTGATTGCATCAAAGAATGACTTGCATTTGTCTGACAACCTGGATATAAAACGGCTGAGAGCCGCTACTCTTCCAGTGAGAATTTGGACTTCTTTTATGGTTCGAGACTCTTTGCTTTGTAGCAATTTTGCCAACTGGGTGGGACTTGCCTCAATTCCCCTCTTGTTCACCAGGCAGTGGCGGATCTAAGGGGGGGCTTGAGCCCCCCCCCCCCCCCCCCCCCCCCCCCCCCAAAAAAAAAAAAAAAATTTAGTATAGGTATATTTAGCCCAATGTTTTAAAGAAGAAAAAATTAGTAGTAGTATTAGCCTCCCCAATTTTAACCCATCCAAATAAGCCCAATATCTAAGTCACAATTTTAAAACAAAGGCCCAACTAAATAGATTTAAGCCAAATAAGCCCTAAACAATCAGTAAGCCGAAGCACAGAGAACTCCTAAATTCTTAATCTTGCAGAAATTAGAGAGCTCACTTCTTCTCTCCTTCTAAAGTCTAACCCTATTTCATCTAAAATTTTCATACTCTTTAATCTTTCAATCCCCAATTCCCTCTTGTTTAATATTAAAACCCCAATTAACAATTCCTGGATTCGCCCTTGTCACCAGGTGACCGAGGAACTGGCCTGAGGATACCCCGAACGAACACTTCGATGAATTTAATATCATTTTATTTCTTCTGAGAGTATCAAACACATCCTGCAGGTGTTGCCGATGATTTTTCTTGTCTTTGTTTTTTACAACCATATCGTCTATGTAAGCTTCAACTGTTCGGCCAATCTGCTTTTCGAACATTTTGTTGATTAACCGTTGATAAGTAGCCCCTGCGTTTTTCAGTCCGAAAGGTATGACTCTATAACAGTAGGTCCCACGTTTGGTAATGAAAGAAGTCTTCTTTTCTTCCGAAGCGGTTATCGAGATCTGGTTGTAGCCTGAATAAGCATCAAGGAAAGTTAGTTTCTCATACCCAGTCATAGCGTCTACCATCTGATCAATTTTGGGAAGCGAAAAGCTATCCTTCGGGCAGGCTTTGTTCAGGTTAGTGAAGTCGATGCATACTCTCCATTTGCCATTCTTTTTCTGGACAACCACTACATTTGACAACCATTGAGGGTACTGGACTTCTCTGATAAACCCTGCTTCTAAAAGTCGGTTGACCTATTCGGCAATGATTTTGTTCCTTTCGGGGGCGAATCTTCTCTGCTTTTGTTTCATTGGGTGATGGCTCAGGTCCATGTTTAGGCTATGACAGGCTGTCCGTGGGTCAATTCCCGGTATGTCCTAGTGATTCTAAGCGAAGATATCGGCATTCTGCCTTACAACCTCTGTCAGCTCCTCCTTTTTATTGGGTGATTGGAGCGAAGTTAACTTGTACTCATCCCCTGCGACTATCTGTATGGCCTCTAGGGATTCTTCGTTCGGGTGTTCCTCTTCTGGCTCCTCCCTCTCCTTGGGGGAGGAAGAGCCCGGTAATTGCTATTTCAGCGATTGCTTGCCCTTATCAGTTGGACAAATCGTTGTGTGGTAGCATTCCTTTGTCGTTGTTTGATCCCCCCAAATATCGATGACTTCTTTACCGTTTGGGCCAAGGCACCTCATAACTTGATGTAGAGTTGATGGGACTCCTTCCATGCGGTGGATCCACCCTCGACCCATTAACAAATTGTAGGTTGGATAAATATCCACAACCACAAAGTTCTCTTTCAGGGATCTTTTAGCCGCAGTGACTGATAATGTGATTACACTTATGGGCTCCACTCTTTTGCCGTCGAATCCTACCAAGGGGTTGTTGGTGGGGCAAATTTGATCTGTGGTCAGTTTTAGCTGGTCGAAAGTCCACTTTGTTATAATGTTGGCACTACTGCCGGGATCGATCAGTACTCGTCTGACCAAGCAATTGGCCACTAGCAAGCTGATTACTAATGGGTTTTCATGTGGGTGTTGTACCCTTCTGAGGTCTCCCTCATGAAAGGAAACCTGTGTCGGAGTAGGTCTGCAACCAACAACATTGATTTCGCTAATCCTTCGTAACTTATGGGCTTGCTTGAGTTGAATCCTGTAAGAATTCTTTGGCTGCTCGTCCTCCTTCAGACGGCCATGAATCGTATTGATTTCTTGGACATGATGGTTTTCCGCCACAGTCTTCAGGGTTGTCTGGGTTCGCTCAGATTACCTTTGTTGTTGCGAGTTAACTAGGTAGTCTGCCAATTCGCTTTTGGCTATTAGTGCCTCCACTTACCTTCTCAGGCTCCTATAACCATTGGTTAAGTGACCAAAATCACTATAAAACGCACAGTGCTTACTTTGGTCTCTTTGCTCCATTGGTTGTTTGATCGGTGGTGGGATCTGAAAGATGTTTCTAGCCTTAGTCTCTTGATACAGTCTGGCCAACGTTACTTTGAATGGTGTAATTTTTTCGGCCGTTCGAGATTTCTTTTCGGGTGTTTTTCCTTCGACGCTCGGGGGCTCCCAATAGACCCTTGATGCGCTCGGTCGTTCTTTTAGCCGACTTTCCACAGTGACCAGAGTCGCCCTTTGCTGCCTGGTTACTTCATTTTTTTCGAGTCTGATGTAGTTTTGTGCTCGTAAGTTCAACTCTGACATGTTAGTCAGAGTTTTCTTCACCAGAGAGGAGTGGAAACGCGAGCCTTGCACCATGGCTATCTTGAATGCTTCTATAGCTATATCCTGATTTCAATCTGGAATACCAGAGGATTCCATGTTGAATTGAGTGAGGAAGGCTTGCAGGCCCTCTCCTTTCATCTGCCGAATCATGAAGAGACTGTCAATGGTTTTTTTTTTTTTTGTTTCTTGTTTCCGCAGTACTGGGCAAGAAACGCTACGCACAATGATTCAAAGTTTGAGATTGACTTGCATGGGCGATTTTTGAACCACTCTAGGGCTACCCCCGTTAGACTAGATGGGAATATTTTTCACATGAACGGGTCGTTGTGTGCCTCTAGAGTCATTTCCTGAGTGTAATGGTTTAAGTGCTGGAGAGGGTCTCCAATTCCATTAAATTTGATGAACTTTGGCATTATAAATTTCTTAGGTCTCGCAACCCGTTCTATCTCATCGGTAAAAGGAGTCTTCACTATTGATGCACTGAATTCCCTCGCCATGTCTTCGGGCATTTGGGCCTTCAGTCCTTTGATTCATTCGTCCATTTCCTTTCGGAGCCTAGCGATAAAGTCATTCCCTGAAGATGGTTGATCAATTGCTGGGACCTATGCTTCCTTCCTACCTGAATCAGCATCATCCGATGGATGGACCTTGGTGGCTCGAGGTCCTCCCATAGTAGAGTTTCCCAAGATGCGGGATTAACTTGTTGTATCGTTGGTATCGTTCAATGCTCCGTTGAGCTGTTGTCGTGGAACCCTCTGCTGGAGAAGAGGGTTATCAGGACTTGGCTCCAGAGGAGGATTTTCGCTCTACCGTTCGGGCGGTGGTTCGATTGGTGGATCATTCCGCCTAGCGTCTCCCCGAAGTCTTTCGTTTTCCTCGCGCAGAGTGTTGATTTGCACTGCATTGGCTTCTTGAGCCTATCTTAGTGCGTTGATCTGCTCAGTACTGGCTTCATTGGCTTGTCGAAGGACGTTAAGTTGTGCTTGCATCTCTTCACATATTTACTGCATGGTTTCTAGTTGTTGTGGTTGTGCGGCGTCTGATCCCGTTGCCATTCTGGATCAAAGTTGCATACAAGTAATAAAAAACGGATTTTTTATATTGAGTTCCCACAGATGGCGCCAAAGTGTGGGTGCAATTTCTCACACCCAAACACTTAGAGAAACAAATCAAGAGGAAATGCACAAAATATTGATGAGACAATCAACAATTTTTGAAGAGAATAACCATGATGGGAATTCGATGCTCTTTCATTCTCATTCGGACTCTATTTATAAGCTTTTTTCAGAGAATTTACATGGAGCCGTTTTCTGGCTTTATTCCCAGACTTGGGTATTTATGCCTACTGATCGTGTGCATACTTTTATTGCAAGCGTTATGGACTTATGGGTTTATCGAGATTGGGTTATCCATTTGGCGTTTATATCAAGTGAAGCTTCCTTTATTTAATTAGGTTGAAATGGCATATGCATATGGCTTCTGTTGTTGGGCTTCCGGGTGTTTTTAGTTTAGTAACAAGCTGCTCTTTTGCTGCCATGTGGTGTGTTATGATTGGTGGGGAGTTTTTCCCTCCACAGAGAGTGAATTAATAAAAAAGCAACAGAGCAAAAATGGAGTCAAAGAAGTAAAAGGAAATTCGTAGGGAGAGAGAAAGGGCGAATAAATCTGAGAGCTACAGTAAAAGGAAGTAATTCCTTGCTACAGTACAGAAAATAGAGAAAGTGAAGATTTCTCACTTTCTCTTCTCTTCACAAAATTAGAAAGTACTTCCTTAAAGCGAAAATGTAACTAAACATGATTTTCACTTTTGATTCTTATTTTAGGAATTGATAGTAGAAATCAGGAATTAATTCCTGTTACTAAACAGGCCCTTTCTGTGTTAACAAAGGGTTTTTTTTTTTTAATTTTCCAATGTATCGTAAAGGCCACTTTTGCTTCCTTATTTGGCTATTTTGACATTTATCTGTCAATGCTCTTGTATTATCATTTGGAGAGAGAAATTATTCCATTGTCTTCGTCTAATAAAATATAGATTCTACAATTAAATGTAATGAATCCGCAAAAGTGTACAAATGTTTTTTTTTTTTTTGCACAATAATTCCTGGCTAGGCTACAATTTTATGTATTTATATAATTTTACATCGTTTCTTAACCGTAGTTAGTTCTCCCTCAACTAAAGGGATAATTTGCAATAAATTGAGATTGTATTGTTATTAACAAGTAAATAAGTAAGGATGATATTTTTTTAACTTTCTGAAATTACAAGGAGGTCCTGCAAGTCTGGGTGTGCCTGTAGAAGTTAGTGGCTGGGCATTCATTATTGGGTAAAGTACATCAACACCCTTGAGGTTTGGCATAAGAATAGGTAGATGAAAGTTGTCATATTTTTGGACAATCACACCCCCTCAAGTTTGATAAAATGGACAAAGACACCCTGACAATGGTGAATTGACTTTATTACCCTTTGATATAAAAATTGACAAATAAAATTACTTAAATTCCCTTGAATCAAATAAGTTTAAATGGGTTATTGGGTAAAACCCATATGATAAATCCAACTTTTTTCTATCTTTACGCTGTGTGTGTGTGTGTATATATATATATATATATATATAGTCTGTATAGACACGCGGGCACATATTTCATGATCACCACCATAAATCAGCCCCATTGCCGCATCATCATCATCATCAATTTATCAACGGTGACGAGCAAGGGAAAAGAATTCGAAGGATGAAGGCTTGTAATTAGTGTTTATTTTAATAGAGAGAGAGTGTGATATATATATAAACCTATATATATATATTTACAAATTTTAGGGAATTATAGAGGGAGAAATGTTGGCAGTGGTTGGGGGGTGAAGGAAGAGAAGCATTTAACATGGAGAAGGATTTTGATTCAAAGCTTAGGATTCAGAATGATTCATCCAATGTTGAGAAACTACAGAGATCTAGGAGCTTTGCATTCAGGGCACCACTGGAGAATTTTACCATCCATGACTATGAATTGGGCAAAGTATATGGGGTTGGTTCTTATTCCAAGGTTAGGTTTTTTTTTTTTTTTTTTTCTCTCTCTCTCTCTGTTGTTCTTCTTTTTATTTATATTCTGTATATAGTGATTCTTTTTTGATTTTGATTGTATTAATCTGATTTGTGCTCATTATAGATTATGGTTTGTTCTGGTTTAAGAAGATTTACCTTTTAATATTTGGGGAACTTCGAAACTGTATAGTGGAGATTTGAGATTAAATTAGAATAAATGATAGAGAAGATTTGCCGTTGAAGATGGTGAGCCGCTCGACGGGCGGTGGTTGGAAGGTGTGGAGGTGGTGCCATGGCCGAAGTTTTCGGGTCTGGCTTGGGAGTGGTGGTGACTGTTGTGTGGTTGTGTGTGTATATATATATTTATATATATAGGGAGATGAAAAGGGTAATTTGGCCATTTAAGTATTTTGGCCATTTAAGTATTTTGGCCATAATTAAATTAGAATCTGTGCAGTGGAGATTTGAGATTAAATTAGAATAAATGATAGAGAAGATTTGCCGTCGAAGATGGTGAGCCACTCGACGGGCGGTGGTTGAAAGGTGTGGAATAGGTGCCATGGTCGAAGCTTTCGGGTCTGGCTTGGGAGTGTTGGTGACTGTTGTGTGGTTGTGTGTGTATATATATCTCTATATATATAGGGAGATGAAAAGGGTAATTTGGCCATTTAAGTATTTTGATATTTTATAATTAAAATTAATAAAATAGTGAAGGATAAAATGGACTTTTCACATGTTTTAAGGCTTTGTTTGGATGGCAAATTTCACAAGGGGTATGGTTGTCCAAAAATAGACAAACTTTCATCTGGGTGTCCTTTTGGTAAACCTCAGGGGTTGTCTCTGTGCTTTACCCTAAGATTTAATTGGTTTCTTACACTATCGATTAATTGAGGTAGTTGGATTTAATATATAATTAGGAAAAAAAAAACAAAAAGAGATAATTTTTTTTTTCATAGTTGGTACTCACACGCACATGCCTTCATAGAGACTTAAACCATTGACCTCTCTTTGGGAAATAAGAGTCTGATATCGTTAGGTCATTGACTCGTTAGTAAAAAAAAAAACTAAATATTTAATTATGAATTAGTTAGTCCATGACATGCCAGGATTGCAATTAGGAAAAAAGAAAAATAAAACATTTGCCATTTTTATTTTATTTTATTTTTTTATAGCATGAAAACGATATCATATATCATTTCAAAAGCACAAAGGCCAAGCCAACGACAGTACATAGGCAAAAAGTCAAGTCAGAAAGGGCATACAAATCATGAAGCAAAGCAATAAAATAAAGAACATGCTCCAAATTTGTGTACAAATCATGAAGCAAAGTAATAAAATGAAGAACAGACTTCAGATCTGTGGAGAAAATAAAGTCTAAAACTCTACAACGAAATCACCAAGGGAGAAACGCAACAAATTAGAATAACCCAAAGGTTAGGCCATCATCAAGGTAACAACTCCAAAACTAGAGCCACAAGCCTATCTGATGAATGTAGTTACTTTTGGAATGATTTGACAATTTTACCCCCTTATTTTAACAATAAAAAATTATTTTGTAAAATGACATATTTTGCCTAATCAAATATTCCCCTATTCTTTTCTCTCCTTAGACCACTCAACCTCCTACAACCAGAACCGATTATATATATATATATATATATTTTGAGAGTAGTAGTACACTCATCTTTTAACTGTAGTCTTAGAATTTAATCTTCCGGCAATTAGTTGATTGGTTTTTTCTTTTCATATTTTAAAAAACTTGCTCTTTTTTATCTTAACAAGAATGACAAAATTAGCTATGTGATTAAAAGAAACTAAATTAATTTGGCTAGACTTTTCATCTCTATTACTTGCCGTTTCTTCCCCCAAAAAAACTCCCTTCAACCATATAGAAGCTAATTAAGAGATTCGCGGTGCATGAAAAAAAAAATAATAATAAATAAAATAAAATAAAATAAACAAAAAAACAAACATTATTCTTGATACAAAATATTAGTCTATGTGAAAGTCTAGCTGATACAAAAGTCCAAGAATTTGAACGGTGAAGGAGTAATGTGAATCAATTTTCTAGGTGGGCACAACTATCATTAATTCTCCTATAAAGAAAAAATCGGGCAATTCAAAAGGTATGACATTAATTGAATATTTAATATTTTTTTAAATTTGAACGGTGAAGGAGTAATGTGAATCAATTTCCTAGGTGGACACGACTATTATTAATTTTCCTATAAAGGAAAAGTCGAGCAACTCAAAAGGTACCACATTAATTGAATATTTAATATTTTCTTAAATATTCAATGATTAAGTATTAACTTGACCGTCAGAATACACCAGTTTACAACACGCCGGTACTCTCTTTTGTCTTACCGGATACATACCCCAAGTCCAGACAAAGAACTCTAGGCATCTTGCTGTTTTGGAAACCTTCTGCTTCTTGTAAGAGAGCAAGGGAGGAATTATTAATGGGCTAACCTGGGCTATTGCCCAAGTCCAATAAAAAATAAAAATTGGGTCTACTGTTCATATAAGCCTAGAATTGAAGTATTACTCTTCCTCCTCCTATTAGCACAACTGTTCATGTGTTTATATGGGCTATATGCTGCTTCTATCCTTTTTCTTTGAACTATTCGTGTGTTTATCTTTGATTTTTCTTCCTTAAGCAAGAGTATAAATTATGTTAATTAGAAACCACAATTCAAAAAGTTTACAACTACTAGAAAGTGAAAAAACATCCAATTTTTTTTTATTCAAATTAGGGCATAAACCCATATTCCTTATAACATGAACAGTTTTATTTCAAAATCAATTAAACAAAAAAAAAAAAATTGTTGAATAGATGTTCAAGATTCAATTGGATAATTTTTTATTTTTTATTTTAATTTTTATCCGAAAAATGAATTCCAATAGGTACTTTGATGGGGTATAACCAACATGCTTTTATACTTGATTTTAAATTGAGATCTAAACTTGGTAAATTAGGTTTCTATGTCCTCTTGGATTTGATCTTCGGTAAAAATACAGTAAGACTATATTAAACACAGTATACCCTTACCATATCTCACTTTTACAAGGCAATTTTCTAATATTTTACAACTTTTATTATGGTCATTTTCAAATTTTCTCATCTTTAATTTCCCTATTTTGCAATCCTGACTCCGGTAAGAGAGATTCGTCTTCTAGTGTCTTGTGACCATTTGAATAACCAAACTGTTTCTTTAACAAAATGTAATTACACTGCAACGCACACATATTGCTCTTCCCTTATTTTTTTATAGCCATTAATATACTATTCTGAACGTATGGAAATGCTACATTAATGGATTTTCTTTCAAGAAAATCAAAATCAAAATCAAAATCAAAATCAAAATCTTTCCCTTTGCTACCGCTTTACGAATTTCTTTATTAGTATGCTTGCGTTGGGAAATATTTTTTATTTTTTATTTCAAACACCACTAGTTTGCAAATTTTTTAATTAGCCAATTAATGGGGGGTTTAGCGGGGGAAAGAAACTTCAAGTAATAGAGACGAAAAGCCTAGTCAATTTAGTTTAGTTTCCTTTCCTGTTAGTCACATATCTAGTTTTGTCATTTATTAACGTTTAGTCACGTAGCTAGTTTTGTCATTCTAAATTTCTTAAAATATAAAAAAGAAAAGCTGGTTAACTAATTAGGATAAATTAAATTTTATCAATATGTACACTGTCAATTTACACTTAGCTTTCTTGTGATCAATGACAAAAAAATATATATTGATGTAAGTAATTTTATAACTTTCAAATTTTAAATTTTATTTTCGAAAAATGTGTTTATTGTAATAAAATATAATATATATACAAAACATGATTTGCAGTCGTAATATCGGTTGCTGGTCGTGGTGTAACGGATTCGGACGAATATCAATATAAATTAGCCAATTCATAAAAATATGTAATAGTAACGAACCTTAAAAAAGCTGTTACAAACCGACTGGTCATGTTTCGAGTTACAAACTTGATATATTTAACAAGATCATATCATGTAATTTGACAAACAAAAGGAAGATTGCTAATATCGTGTACGTCTTTTCAATAGGGGTGGGCAAATAATTTGTAAATCCACGAATCCGATTCGGTTTGTGCAAATCGGATCGGATTGCTACATCCACGAATTAGTGGCGGATTCAAAAAAATCAAATCCATAACTCAGATTGAACTGTTAAAAATCCAATTTGATCCGTAAAATTTATATATATATATATATATATATATATATATATATATATATATTAAAAAAATATCTTAGTTAATTTAATTATTTAATGATAAGTTAATGTACTCTAAGGATGTATTACTTAATAATTATTTAAATATATGAATTAATATTAATAAATTAAAACTTTATGTATTGGGTTAGGGTTAAAAGATAAATAAATAATAAATAATATTACTTATAAAAATAAAAATAATAATAAATAATTTAGATAAAATTCATTCCGTCGATTTAACCCGACTCATTATTATACAAATTCGATCTGATCCGTAAAATAGTAAATAAATGGCGGATTAAATTTTTTTTTAATTCGTTAAAAATGGATTGAATTAAGATGAATGCTTAATCCGATCCATCCGATCCATGACTATCCTACTTTTCAACACGCAACTACATATAGGCCGCCTCAACCGTGTTTTTCCGCTCACCAATAAATGCATTGTACTTGGCTACCAAAACAAAGAAAGACACGTATATGACCGCCATCACTACCATCCAAGCCTTCCTTCCATTTCTAATTTTATTTCGCTTCTCTAGTAGAAGGGATTACGTGTTCCTTTCCATCCAAAACGATAAACTACCATAAGAAAGAGAAGCAGACAGACTACAGTATAACCTTCTTTACAACCCAGATTTCCACCGTACGGCTGATGCGCCAATTCAGTTGGTGTCACTACAAAAATGTTCTTATGAGCCTCTATGCAAACTCTTGTTCATTTTAATCTCTAGTACATATCTCCGTCATGGCTGATTAACGTCGACCGAACTTTATGAACAGGTCTTCCTCACAGATCTGACTTACCATACCAACTATCATCACTTCCATAAGCCGTAGATCAACACTGGTAGACCACCAGTGTTTTCCAGGTGGGTCAATGGCACCCACCTCCTTGTATCAGCGCAAAAATAATAGAAAAAAAGGAACATACATGCAAATCGAAACATATCCAGACAATGGAAGTAGTAAACATAGTTAGATCACAAGCAGTTGTGTTACTTGGAGGAAAGAATTATAAAGCTGTTCCAACTCTTCACAACATCATAATCATCATCATCATCATCTTCTTCTTCATCATCATCATCATCTTCTTCTTCATCATCATCATCATCATCCACCACATGAAACAAAATATCTCTACCTAACTCATCCTTTGACCATGTATTTATAATTGAGATAAAGTTAGAAAAGAAAATGTGGAAGAGAGGAGAGAGAGGAAATTGGGGAAAGAAATGGTCAGGCGACACATGTTGGCACGGGGTGGGGGAATTGGCGCGGCATTTTCTGCAATCTAAAAGATCTTGAAGAGCAGGCCACCGTGTGTGGCGAAAAATGGTGCAAACACAAGTGATTCAACTGCCATTAGCTTGATAAGGATGTTCAGCGATGGTCCAGAAGTGTCCTTGAGTGGATCTCCAATGGTGTCACCGATCACAGCTGCCTTGTGTGGGTCAGATCCTTTTGGACCAAGGGTCCTTGCATGGTCTGAAGCACCAGCCTGTCATCCCACAATCAATTCAAAATTAAGCCCCTATTAGAATTTAAGATATCTGATAAGATCACAAGAATAGTTGTAGGAATCAGGTTTACTACTTTACCTCAATATATTTCTTGGCATTATCCCAGGCACCACCAGTGTTGGACGCAGAGATTGCAATCTGCAAAATATAGACAAGAGCGACGTATGATCAGAGTGAGTTCTCCAATAGTATTAGATCACAGCAACAATTATTTCATTAACTAATTAAAATCAAACCAGGGAACCAACAGTTTGTCAATGACATTAAGGCCATTTTTTGGTCTACGGATTTAGTGAGAGAAGGGAAAAGGAAAAAACTATTCTCTCTCATATTATTACTCATGCTTCAACAAAGTATAAAATTCAGGGAAAGGAAAAAGGGGATTGACATTTTAAATTAAAAAATTCTCTGTACTTTCCCTTAATTTATTTTCCCCACTGTTTTCCATGGTAACCAAATAAGGAAAATTGACTTTTCCTCTAGTAAATAGTAAATACGCAAATCAAACTCAACAAAATATTTGGTTAGAGGCTGTAGAACTCGTAGGTCCTAATTGGAAATTTATCAAGCAACCGCTTCAGCATTACCTGGACACCAGAGACGAGGGATCCGGCAAGGACACCAGATAGTGTTTCCACACCAAAGAAGATGCCAACAATGAGGGGTGTAAGCATGACAAGGGCACCAGGTGGGATCATCTCTTTGATGGACGCATCTGTGGAGATCTTGACACAGGTGGCATAGTCAGGCTTGGTAGTGCCTTCCATGAGGCCAGGAATGGTGTTGAATTGCCTTCGCACTTCCTCAACCATCTTAAGAGCGGCACTCCCCACACTCTTCATTGTCATGGCAGAGAACCAATAAGGAAGCATTGCACCCACAAGCAAACCAATAAATACTTTAGGTGTCAATACATCCACCTTCGAAATTTCTGCCCTGCTAACAAAAGCACCGAAGAGGGCCAGTGACACAAGAGCTGCCGACCCAATTGCAAAGCCCTAACAACAAGAGCAGAAAAAATTTATTAGGGGTGTCCATGTTAACCATGACAACATATATACTTGACCAAAAAGAACAAAAGAGTTACAAAAAGAACTACATTTAAGAACTATATAAATATATATATGACCATTACCATATATATTATTGCACGAATAAAGGGAAAATAGATTTATATATATATATTATTACCCGAATGCGTTTTCTTCTTCAATGAGTTCTTTACTTGATCCAAGGCACACAGTTTTATTAGGCAATCTTATTAGAGCAAAGTATCTTTCAATACCAACAAAAAGAAAAAAGTAGCAGTAATATTTACTAAGCTTCAAAAAGACAACCCAACATTTATACTAAGGCTTTACTGAAAAGAGCTTCATGTCTCTCAGAAAGTATTAATGGTTACAAAACATTAACCTTATGGCACACAGCCTAAAAGGCCAAGACACAAGGTTACGGTAAAACTATTGTAGAAAAGAAAGTGGTTCCAAGTTCCAACTTGACTGAAAAGTAATTATATACCTTTCCAATAGCAGCCGTGGTGTTTCCGGCAGCATCAAGAGCATCAGTTCTCTCTCGGATTCTGTGACTCATGCCAGCCATCTCAGCAATGCCTCCAGCATTGTCACTAATGGGACCATATGCATCAATAGCCAATCCAGTAGCAATAGTGCTCAGCATACCCAAGGCGGCTACTGCAATACCATACATTGCAGCAAAACTAAAGCTAACAAAAATGCTAATGGCAATAGCAAAAATAGGAATGATAACGGATTTATATCCCAATGCAAGGCCAAAAATGACATTTGTAGCAGCTCCAGTGCGGCATGAATCAGCAACATCTTGCACAGGGCTGTTATATTGAGAAGTTAGAATTATAACTAGCAATCAATTAAGAAAAGTATATCAATGAGAACCATATATTCTGCCAAAACCAGGTACCTGTATGCATTGCTGGTGTAGTACTCGGTCACAAATCCAATAATAAGGCCAGCCCACAAACCAACAGCAACGCATAAGAACAGTTGCCTGCACTCCCCAATTAATGTCAGATACTTGGAGGGGCCATTTCAATGTCCTGTGTAAATAAAATATTTCCATTGTGTACAGAAAATGCGATATGAAAATGGATCTTCTCTGAACAATTCCCTTTTCAGTTTAATAGTGTTCTAGATAGCATTGGTACAAGGAATTCTATATACAACAATTAATAAAATTTCAGCATAGTTTTGGGACAAACTCATTCTTTTTTCCTTTTTCCTTTTTCTTTTTTCTTTTTTTATTTTTTTATCTGATCCATATGTTCTAAAGAAAGATAAATGTTTCCAAGTGCTATAAAAAACATCTCATGAACACCTGCAGATTTAATGCAAACAAAACAATCCAGAATGTAACTACTTATATAATAACTGTTTTCTGACAACACCGAGCATAAAATTTAAATCCCAAAAGAAGCAGTAATGAATAGGGCTTACCAGTTCTTAACTTCTTTCTGGAATCCAAAATTGAAGATAGTGAAGGAAGATGGAAGCGCGACCCAACTAACAACTGCAATACCAACAGTCATAAGCACAGTGGAAATAATGAGTTGCTTCTTCAATGCTGGCTCAATTTCCTTTACAGCCTTGATCTCGAAGAAATCGGTAGCAAATAAGGTAGTGAGCAAACAAACAAGAATGCCCATGGAACTGATGAGGAGAGGATAACACATTGCAGTAAAATCGTGATTGATGCCAAAAGAAGAGATGGAAGCTACAACGAGGGCAGCACAGGATGATTCCGCATATGAGCCGAAAAGATCAGACCCCATACCAGCAATGTCCCCAACATTGTCACCAACATTGTCAGCTATCACCTGGAAAAAATGGAAACAGAATTATAAAGCCCAAGAAGCAAACAACTTGAATAACCCTAAATCTCCAAAAACAATTATAGTTTACCGCTGGATTTCTGGGATCATCCTCTGGGATGTTCCTCTCAACCTTGCCCACAAGATCAGCACCAACATCAGCAGCTTTTGTATAGATACCACCACCCACTCTACCGAAGAGGGCCATGGAGGATCCACCAAGGCCATAACCAGTTATAGCCTCGAAAAGGCCTTCCCAGTCATTACCATAGTACAGCTTGAAGAGGTTGATGGCAATGTAAAGCACCAAAAGACCATTTGCAGCAAGGAGGAAACCCATTACTGCACCAGATCTAAAGGCGATGATAAAAGCCTTTCCAACACCCTTTCTGGCCTCCAAGGTGGTTCTGGCATTTGCATAGGTAGCAATCTTCATTCCAAGAAAGCCAGAAACCACTGAAGTGATACCACCAAGCAAGAAGGCTATGGTGCTGAAGAGAGCAGTGGCAAGTGCAGGCTTACACATTTTGCTACTGTCATAAGTACAAGCCTGGCTCTTTGTGCTAAAACCCTCCACAGAGCCAAGGAAAAGGAAGATCAAAATGGCAAAAGCAACCATGAAAACACCAACATACTGATATTCAGTAAAAAGGAAGGAGGTTGCTCCTGTAACATACACATATCTGTTACTAGAAAACCCCAAACCTCTCCAAGTCAATTGGAGACATAAATTAAAAACAGAGGATTAGCACAAATAAGAAAATGAAAAATTCATAAATAAGACCAAATCACGATTTCAATGAGTGTAACAAAATCCAAACTTAAACAAGTGTGTAAAGAAAAATGGTCAGTAGCTCACAAACAAATTAGTTTTACAGCATTCACACTAATAGGAATCAAATTCCATGGTATTCATTTGGCATCCAAAGAAACACAAATCACACACACAGTATGACCATTAATAATCAACAACATATACTGTTCTTGTGGTTAAGAAAGGCTCCTGGTTTCACAGATTTGTATCCTATAAGAAAGTTTGTAATAAACAAGTAAAAATAAGGCTTAAGTGACAGGATTGACACTACTGACTAGACTGCTTATGGCTTTTTTAGAATAATTAGGAGGCACCACCTAAAATCGAGTTAAGGTGTACTAAATCACCTAAAATCGAGTTAAATGTGCTTTCAAATTTTATTTGGAAAAGAGAACATTTTGGTTCTCAGAAAAAATTAATAATAACTAAAAAGCTCATCCTACTGAAGATGGAAATTTGAGTCTAAGCTTCTTCTTTTTTTCCTTGGTACTCACACACCCATGCCTCCACTGTGGCTTGAACCCCGACCTCTCTTTGAGAAGTAGGGGCTTGGTACCGCTAGGTGACCGGCCCGTTGGTAAGTCTAAGCTTTTCTTGCCTTCTGAATTAGACTTTTCCAATTTTTGGACCAAAAAAAAAAAAAAAAAGTGAACAGCTAAATAATTTGTCTAAAAGCTTTACTAGATATGATGAGAAAACTATGTGCTGGACAAACTAGTCACTTCTGTTCTAATCATAGTCCATGGTAGCTTGTAATCTTAATTCTTGCATTGACTTTCATACCATCATGTTAAGCATAACAATGGGATGTAACATTGTCTGGTGCATGATTTTGATTGTACTACCCTCCTTTTTTAAGATAGGAGCATAATGGAGTATCTAATGTTGACAACATTTTGACTGCCCACAAATTAATATTCAAGATTGAACATTAAGGGTAAAAGAAGTTTGAGGTTAAGAACAAACACAAAGAAAAAGAAAAAGAAAAAGAAAAAGAAAAAAAAAAAGGATGGATTTTGAAAAGGAAAAAACAACAATTATGGAGAGTCTTGTTATCTATGGGAGTAGACAGTCCCCAGGTTTCGTGAAATCCCACCATTTCTTTTTTCTTTTCTTTTTTTGGACCCGAAAAACCCACTACGTGCTGCATGTTCTTATGACTTTTATTTTATGTGGTAACGCCAATTTATATACACACACATATAATTATTTATATATTGATCGCAACAGGGCAATTGAATTTCACTGGTAGCCTATCAGTACCGTTAATGAGAACCAAAAAAAATCGTTTGAAACTACTGTTGTTTAAGGATGGCAGCCCCACTGGATGGTGGTTAAGCAGGCTAATAAAAAAAAAAAAATCTCAAATTGCATAAAATCACACTAAATTATCCAATTATGACAAAGAGGTAAGTTCAAAGACACAAGCCTGTGTCATCACCATACACGTGCCAATAAAAACTAAATATTAAAATTACCAACAAGAATAAAAAAAATAAGTTAAAATAACAGCAGAAATTAGATCTCAAATGAATTTCCTAAAGTAAACAAAGAAAGTTAGCAACAATAATATAAATGCTGATTATAACATATAATAAAACAACCCGTGCCGACATGTCCTACATTCCATTAACAATAAAGATAATTATTAACTAAATAGCTTCAACACGGTCTAGATTGTCCAGCTTAAACTACAATTTAACCATCAAAAATTAAAAACAAAAAATAAAAGAAGACATTCGTGTTCATACAAACAGAATTCAAGTAAAGAGCAAACAAAACAAAACAAAAAACTCTATGCCATATACAAGTTTCAAAAGCAAGCTATTATATACATTTACAAGCATAAAGTTCAATAACTCGTCAGAAACATATAACCACATAATACGTATGATACTGTATACAGTATACGGACTAACGCAACATAAAGTTCAATAATTCGTCAGAAACAAAATCAAAACCAGAGCATTACCGACGAAATGCAAAGTGACGAAATTCAGAACCAGATCTACCAAAAAAACAATCAAAAGCCTCCGAAAACAACAAGATCTAAGCTAAAAGTTTCACCTTCGGAGATAGCGTTCTGAATTTCGGCGCATTTCTGAACGACGGCGTGGTCGTTGATACCTTCCTCCTCCTCAATCAACGATTCAGTGAAGCCGTTTTTTCCGTTTCCCTCCGGTGGCTGCTTTTCCGGCGAGAGCTTCACGCGCGAGACGATTAGCCACTGGACCAGAGAGAACGCAATTCCAATGACGGCGCAAACCGGAATCACGATCTCCGTGCCGAGATCTGGTAATATCGCCGCCCCCATGGCAGAGTCGTTTTTGGTGGCGCAAAGCGGAGTCCGACGGAGTCTCACCGGAAAATCAAAACAAACGAATGGAGTGAATCGTATGTGTGTTTTTGAGTCCTCACGCTCTTTTATGGTGATATCTGAGAAATATCTATTTATATACAGAGAGAGAGCATTGATTTTTGACGGACAACAGAGCGTGTGATATTTTTTTTTTTACAGTATTATTAAAAATAGAAAAGGCAGAATTACTACTACCAAGGTAAATTCGTTGATTTCCAAGGCACTGTAACAGAAAATGTCAACAAATGGTGGAATTAATGGTAATGACAGGTCAGTTTTATAATATTTTTAAAAAAAAAAAAATAGTAATGACAGGTTGGGATAATATAATAAAGGAATGTATTTTCTCTAGGTGTTAAACATAGAAAATAATAAGTTAAACTCCTTTTAAGTCATTTCCAAAATAAATGAGCAGTTAAATTTGATTATTGGATATACCAAATATTTAGGAGGTGGCACCTAATAATAGCATTGGGGGAAAAATAGGATGAGATTTCACTTTGCATGGGACTTAAATTTTAAAAACCAAATAGACTAATTATAAAGTTGTAAAATAGACTAATTATTGATATTAATTAAATTTATAGTAATAATCACGTCAAGTCTCTTAAAACATATGTATCAAATAATTACCAATTTTTATTCATCTTTTTATTTTTTATTTTTTGAAAGTGATTTTTAAAAAATTCAAACCCCCGACTTTTAAAATGTGAGATTTCATTTTTTTTTTTTTTTTTTTTTTGTGGATAATTAACTTTAATACTGAGATAAAATTGTGTGTATTTTTTTTAATCTAAATTATGTGTAATTTAACTTTGAATATTAACTTTGTCCGTGGAATGTTAAAAATAGATCCGTAACAGATTGTCTTGTTATCAGATTATTATCCAGATTAACATCCACGTCAGGGATAAGATTAGTTTCCAATGGTGTGTATTATATATCAGGAAGCAACAAAACGTTATCGAGAATATATTAGCATACGACGCCGTATATGAAATTTTACGTGCTACAAGGAATCTTCTTTTTAGTAGAATAAAAATGGCTGAGGTGGCATATATATTCGGATAACTCTGAGAGCTTGTTTTAGACGCACATTTTGAGGGATCTGATTGATGGATAGAATTTCATTGTCATGCATTCCATGATATACCAAAACATGCATGTCATAGGTGTGGCCCACCATTATAAGGACAGTTTTGGGCAATCTGGACCTTTCATTTAATGGGGCTATGGATAGAATATCTCTGTCATGCATCGCGTGCGACACAAAAGTCATGCCCCATTCTAGGTATGGCCCACCGAGATGAGGACCTTTTCGGAATTTCAGGTCAATAATGATGGAGTAGAGTAACACAAATGACAAAGCACAGGAATTCATTTATTTGTCCTATGATAATTTCATGAATGGGAATCATTCTTAATCCATTACTTTATCATGGTCGTGAAACAATCTTCAAAATCAATATAAGAATATTGGAACCAAGTTTGAATAAAAAGGGGGGAAAAATTAAAAAGTAATAAAAACTTTTTAAAAAGAATAATGCGATAATTAACTCTAAGTGGAATTATGAATTACAGTACTCAATTAGATAGAACATACGAAAATTTAGAAAGGGGTTATTTGGAAACATAATTCTAATCCATTTTGTCACTTTTTATTTATTTGGAAATTTTTTAATATAAAATTAATGTGGTATTTCACATGTTCCAATGTAGAACTTTTTAAGGGAACATATAATTATTACATTGTTTCATTTGAAAAATATTAAAATATTTTTTAAAAAAAATTTGAATATATATACAATTTAAGTTTGAAATTTTTAAGCACTTCAAAGATATTTTTTGAAAAGAAGTGAAGAATGTTGTTTAACTTTGATAAGTGATCATTTTGGGACAAATAAAAAAGAAAAGATGGACAATTAAATTAGAGCATATTTTTTCTTTACTTATGGAGTAGAGAATTTTTTTCACCGGTTCAAAATCATAAAAAAAAAAAAAAAAAATTAATAATAATAATGCGCAAGAAATACGTGTCCACTTTTTCGTTCTTACGAAAATTTGAACCATTAACCTTTTATTTTTAAAAAATAAAAAATATCATTTGATTAGAGGCCTTAATCATTCGAGAGCAAATTCAATTATGTTGTTACATATTTTTCTAACATATACAACTTTTGGAGAAACAGAATTTCATATTGAATAAATTATTTGGGTTAGGAGAGCATAGCTACAAAAGTGAAAAGACCATAAATATCTAGGTTGGCAACAATAATTTAAGAATATTGACTGTTGACCTCAAAAGTTTGTGTGTCCACCATACATTGGATACACATGTATGATTTTTATTTTGTTTTTATCTTATAATTTTTTATGGTTAGATATTGACGAGATTATTTAACAGCTTTGGGATGTTGAAACATTTGTTGTATTTTTATGTTAATAATTGTGCTTTTCCCATAAGAACAAACAAACTGGTTGAGTGAGTGAAGAAGGTGGACTGTGACATCATTTCTGGTCCGGGTTAGTGTGGGACCCTAACCATGCTGGTTTGGTTCAACCCACACCTTTTTGTTGTGGACTTCTCAGATCTATTCTGTACCTAGCCCAGATGCGATGCAATTGGTATATTCTCAAGTCACATTTGTTGGGTTATTTCTGGGACCCTAACCATGTTGTCCCTCGTGGTCTTTCTAGTGTTTGTTTGCAATTTCAACGGATGTTTTATTATTATTATTATTTATTTATTTTAAATATAAAGGGACCTTACCCAATTGTGCAATTTGAACGCAATTACAATTTTAGTGCATTTTAAAACCCTTTTTTTTTTTTTAATTATCAATGGACATTAATCCAGTTAGCATGATCTTTGCCCTCTCATTTTGAGAAGGGAGGATGAAAGTTAATGTTGAACTTACCAAAAATAAATAAACCATATTAATTAACAGTTTTACTTTTATGACTAGGATTTAAAAAAATGAGCCAAATTTAATAACAGACATATTTGAGTACTATCAATCTTTTGTTTGCTTTAACTTTTGGTAAAAAAATATCCATAAAAAAGAAGAAATCATAGTTATTTGTACTCATTTCAAATTGAATCAATTGTTTACTTACAAACAATTACTTTATTTACTTATGAAAAAATTGAGCCAGATTTAATAACCGATAAAGACATTTTTGAGTAATACCAAGCTTGATTTCTGTAATTGGAGACTAATTAATGATTCGAAATCTAAATGATTGTTCAATAAAATATAATAGTGAGTTCTAATACTTTAGGCCCATTTGACCAAAATGTTGGACTAAAAACATCTAAGTCATTGGATGCTATAGAGACAGACTCTCTATAGCATTCAATGGCGGAGGTATTTTAAGCCCAACAATTCAGCCAGAGTGGTAGGCATAAGTATCATTTTCGATACCTAATATAAAACTTGAATCTGTTAAATTTTAGATTGATGGCTGTAATTACATGCGAAGTGTATAGCTCAGATCACTTCCCCAGGAGAGCCAAGTCCATAATATCAAACCTAAAAAATGCTTAGCATATTTTGCTAACTGGTCAAAAACACAATGCAGACTCATCCTAGAGCTCTTCAAGCCGGTCAGATGGATCAATAGGGAATAATGGAAGAAAAGCTGGGCCAGTCGTGCAAGAATGGACCTGATCAACATAGAGGGCTAAGATCCTTGCCCTAGAAAAATGCTCTTTGTTCCAAGTGTCTTTCATCAAATGCTCTTTGGACTAAACTCGAGATTTGAAAATAACTTGAGCAAATCTAACTAAACAGTTCAAGGTTCAAGACAATGTCAAACTACATTACATGGTCTAATGCCACCACAACTGCAAAAGCACATCCAAGCTAGAATAAAGAGAACATGAGTCCCCGAATGATTCTACGAACTGTACAGAAGGACAACTTACAAGAAGCAAACACAAGAACTAAAAGGTAAAACAGACCTTCTATTGGAACGGTGAGCACTTACAGCTGAATTCTCTTATGAAAGCTTACCTTGAAAGCACATCATGCACTTCACCAAACCGATGAGCAAGCGAAGAAATAGCTTCGTATGCTAGTCCTCCATTAGTCTTAGAAGCGGATTACATGAAGAAATTGCTTCGTAGGCTAGTCCTCCATAAGTCTTGCATGTAGCCTTATTATGCCCTGTTTCCTTGCAACGACTGCAAGAAACTACCTTTTTAGATGCTCCTGGTGATGTAGCCCGTTTCTTCACCACCAGCTGGCCTGATGGTGGTCGAGACGGGCAAGGAGGAAGTACATGAACAGTGTCAGAAGAAGACCCTTCTTTGTCCGCTTCTTTCTCCACTTCTTTCTCCGCAGGTTTGCTGATGCCAGGCACAGGATTTATGGACTTGGAATACGTTGAGCGGAAGCTATCGGCTGTGAAGTATCTTGAACAATAATCATATACATTCTTACCTGTATATTTGAAGACGCCAATAGCATGGTGGCAAGGTAGCCCAGCAGTCCAACCCAGGCAACTACAGTCCCATTTATCAAGATTCACAACATTAGTGGACCCATCACGAACCTCAAATAGGGTATCAGATGAGATTAGCACCTTAAGTTCACAAGCTTTAGAAATTTGTTCTTGCAGTTTTTCCTCTTTAGATGGAGCGAGTGTTGAAGACCATTTACTTGAATCCATTCGGCGAGTATTTATCAACTTCACCATCATACCAATTAGTGCTTCTATCTTCTGTATTATGGGTAATTCCCGCATTTCATCCATCAACTTTGTGTATGACTCCCCAACATTTTGTGTAATATGGTTAAAGCTCTCGCCCTTAAATGATGATTTTGTCCAATACTCTCGCTCAATTTGCAGGACCCAATCGTGAGCTTGTGAAGAAACCCGTTTTATTTGCTCAGTGTAGTGCTTAAATCTGTCGAGTCGAACTGCGTGGGCAGCAGCCACAAAAAATCCAGGTAAAGACGCCTTCCCATCTCCATGGAAAGGACCCTTCAAGTTTTTCTTGAAGCTATCTAATAGGTGGTACATAGAGTAACCATGGTAAGCATTCCCAAATACCTCGAGCACAGATTCCTTTAATCCCTTCTCTCTGTCAGAGACGAATGTTATTGATATTGAAGTTGAAACTGCAGATTTCAACTGCTCCAGAAACCAATGCCAATTATCATTGTTCTCAACATCCACTACAGCGAATGCTACAGGGAAGAAACCATCATCCCCATCCAGTGTGGTTGCTGTCAACAAAATCTCTTGAAACTTCGATTTTAGAGATGTAGCCTCAAGAAAAACAAGGGGACGACAACCATTCTGGAAACCATGTATTGAGGCATGAAATGATACAAAAAGGCGTTGAAATTTTTTTTCATCATTGACGATGAGCTTGGCAAAACTACCAGGATTTGTCTCCACCATTTTCTCACAAAAACCAGGTAACTGATCATATGCATCTTTATATGATCCCTGGAGTTGCTCCCTAGCATCTTCAATTCCACGCCATACTTGTGTGTAATTCAACTCGATTCCAAAGTCTTTGAAAATGCCATTAGCAATATCCTTGGGTTTGTGACGTGGGGAATCCCGTAACCTGTCCTTTATAATACTGACCAACCAATTTTTTGTTGGATGAACGGACTTCCAAGATTCTCCTCCACACGTGTGTGAAGTATTCAACTTCTTTATCCTAAATGATTTTGCAGCCGGGACCCAAGATGCATGAATCCTCCAAGAACAACCTTCAGTAACACATCTGCCACTCGCACGGTTAGTGTCATTCTTCTTTAACCTGTACACAAAGCGATGTGCGATAGCATATTTCTGCAATGCATCTCTAAACTCATACACACTTTTAAAGTCCTGGCCTATACCAGTAATGCCATCTTTCCATGAAGCAACTAGTTTTTCCAGTGACACATCATCAGAGATGGTGACGGTAGATGGAGTATCAAAATCCTCTCTAGAAGTTACAACATCCCATTTCTGCTCCATCTCATCAGCTAATGCAACAGTACTGTGACTTCGGCTGTTCTTCCGCGATCTTTTCTCCCCACCATCATCAGCAATGGCAACAATGGTAGGACCATTGGCACCAATTTTCCAAGAGGCAGTACGTCTTCGCTTCTTGACAGTATCTGCAGGGGTACCACTGATATCAATTTCAAGTGGGCTGTGAGCAACTGCATCAACAGCAGCAGGAGTGTGCAGAACAGCACTGAAGTCATCATCACTATCAGCAGAGGAAGGAGAAGACATTGAGTCAGGGGTAGCTGAAGGAGTAGCATCAGTAGGTGGAGGACTTGTACCAATGGCAGCACAAGAAGCAGGAGTCGCAGTGATGACGGCATCAGGTGGAGATGTAGTAGCACATGGGACAACACGTTTTACAGTCTCAGCTGGCTTTATACCACTCTCCCTGCAATTATCAGTTATATTATTGCATGCAAGCATGTAAAAAGCAAGTGGTCAGCAGCCAAGTGCTAATCCTTAAGCATGCCCCAGTAAAGAAGGAGAAGTTTTACTTTGAGGAGAGGAACATTCTTAGGGGTTCATCTGTGCTACCTTTTTCTTTATGCAAGAGTTCCTCTGTACTTGGACGTGGCATGCAGTGATTGGCAATGGGCTGGTGACAACATTGAGTAGTATATTTTTGTACAAAACAAAAGGTGGCAAGATAGCTAGATTAAAAATATGATGGTTCATGGCATTGTCTTTCAAAAAGTCCACGTTACCCCTTAAAAGTCAAAACCGTCTCTCTATAGAATTTGATGGTTCACAACATTATATTTTAGAAAGACCAAACTATCCCTTTTAGAAAAACTCTCTCTGTGTTACCTTGATTTGGGTTTTTAATAAGGTTTGCTTTATCAAATAGAGCTAATTATTGATTGTCTTTCCAATGTTACGGTTTGACCCCCTGCGTGTCTGAGGGAGATAGAGAGAGGGATTATGGTGCTGGTTTAATTTGGAAATTGCAGCACCATTGTGATAAGCCACTCCAGTTTGATGGTGAGGTCCCCCACTGCGTGTGTGCGGGAGATAGAGAGGGATTATGGTGCTGGTTTAATTTGGCAATGGCAGCACCATTATGATAAGCCACTCAAGTTTCATGGTGAGGTCTCCATGGTCATATAGTGATGTGAGAATGTAGGTAGAAGATGGGACACCAGTTTCAACTTTCAACCTCTCAGACTTCTTTATCATACTTTAGTATGGGCTAAGACGAGGAAATCTACATTAGATTAACCAGCAGAGCAGAGTAAGTGTTCTATCTGAAACTCGCCGTGAGGACCAGAAGGTGTGAGGGATGGAGAATTCAGTTTTGAAAAGCTTTGACTTTGAAAGGGGGAGAGGAGGGGGGCATTGCCTGGTGCGGAGGTATAAGTTTGGACGCACGTTTGCTTCTCAGATCAACAATTTTGTGCAAAATATTGACAATTGTGATTTCTATCTCAAGTATTTCCTCCCACCACCTCACATATGCGGGACTAGCTGGGAATAGCCTTTTTGACTTAGAAATGACATTCTAGTTTTTCAGAAACAACCGAAAATGAGCCATGGATCCATCAAATTCATCTCTAGAAATCACACAAACCAGAATAATAAAAATAATAATAAATAAAAATGAAAATGAAGGTAGGGTTATATTCCTACAAAAGCAATGAACCTAAGACAAACCTGTTGGCATATATGTTCAAGGCATCACGATCAAAACCTTCTCTTCCCATAACAAAAACATCTGCTGTTACAGAGTTTCCATGGAAATCAACCATCCTCTTAAAGTCTTTGTCATTTGATAAAGTTATGAGAGTTCGCCTGTTTCCAGGAAGGAAGTACTTAATGAACAAGGTTTTATATTCCAAGTTACACATCTCAGCCAATTTTAACTTGAGGTCAACAAACAGTGTTTCACGATTAACATTTACTGCATGTGCCTCTCCTCCAGCATATGTCAAGGACCCATCATCATTTGTCACAAACTCACCACCACACTGGCAAATTAATATAAGCTTCGCCCTTGCCATTGACAAAATCTTCAGAAGTTCCTATAAACAATCAGAGAGTTAGTTTATCCCTCTAGTCTTAATATTTTCAAATCATGTCTTTGTGGGGAAAAAAAATTGTCAAGTTGCTAAATGTAGGAATAAATAAGAAGTTTGAAATGTATTTGGGTGCAAGAAGGATGCAGCATTGAAAATGAATTTGTTCATAATGATTAACAGGGCAAGTGTAGAAATTTGGGTGCTTGAAGGATGCACCATTGAAATTGAATTTGTTCATTGTATTCTATAGGACAAGTGCACCAGTCATCTTGAAATGGACAAACGCCCTAGAACTGTACGATACAATCAGAATATGATTCGCATAAAATAACATACCGGATTTCAATCTGTTTAAACCAAAAAAGAAAGGAAACTAACAACAATAAGATTGAATACAGAACTAACATCTAACTTTATTTGCCCGAAATGACTGCCCTTAAATTTGGCCACATTCTGACACCTGACATCTTGAACGTAATTTCAATGCAATTGTCTGCAACATCTTAAACAACATTCACTCACTCAGTCTCCTATTGGAAAAAAAATCTATGCTTCCACAAAAGATCCAATTTATAAAATAAAACCCTAACCCCACCCATCCCTTGATGATGCAATGAGTGCACCAATGTGCTATCATTTTAAAAAATATATATATATTCCATCAAGCTGCCCCCGACTCCAAAAATTCTAGTTCCAAACCAACAAAAAAGTAAAGTCACGTATTATTATACGGATTAATAATTAGGGTCAAGTATTAATGAATGTCTAAATAGAAAGTCATGTATAAGAGTCTAAAGGGGCATCCGGTGTACAATTGACTAGAAGAATGCACAGAAAATAGGCATACTAAAAAGAGTGCAGCATAGAAACCCAATAAACAACATAGCAACAGGGCCCAAGAAATAAGCAGGAAACTACGTACTTACTATTTAGCAGAACCACGGGGACAGGGACGGACCCCAGTGGTGCCCAGTGGGGGCGAACACCCCCAATGAATTTTTGTTGTTTGTATTATTGCCTATAAATTATGTAAAATTTTGAATGTGCACCCACTAAAATTTTGAAATTTCAATATGTAAATCTGCCCCCACTGATATTTTTGGACGTTGACCTAATCTCAACTCCCTCTCTCTCATTTATATTTAATTTTTGTATATATAGATTTTAAAATTCTAAAACTGCCCCTTCATATTTTTAATGTTTTTATTTTTTATATACATAATTTTTGTTAGGATTATGAGTCTATAGTCGACCAAAACACATAAATGTAATTCTAGACTATGTTTATTCCGTTCAGCTTTTTAAGTGTTTAGAAGTGATGATTTGAGTCTAGAAATAAAAGTGATGGTTAGATGAACCGTGAAGTGTTTGGATGAAGCTCCTACTTCCACAACAAACAGATTCTACAACTTCATCAAAAGCAAGGGTATAAAGGTAAATTTACTTGTACAATCATCTATCACCATTTAGGAACATGCATACAAGTTTATTAATCAAGTTTCAAAGTTTTATAAACTTACTTGATCATTTACAACATAATTTGTATTATGTACGCTCAATTCTCTAAAGTCAGCTAAAACTGATAATACACTCCTAGATTGATGATGAAGACTTAGTTATACACTTATCAAATAGAAAAAAAAAATAATTACGTATCAAAATAAATTAAGACTTAGTTATACTTTGATCTAGTACGAGAATTGAACTATCGATTTATAGCAGAGGAAGCTGATCGATTGATATTCCTCTAGTAGGGTTCGATCAAAACACCCTTATATCTCGATCAATCAACCTCTCTACATATATCGATTGACAGGAGCAGAAATGGGAAAGTTTCATATACTTGGTCGCAAAATTAGAAGGCTGGAGTTGTTCAATAAGGCGCTGTTGGGAAAATGGCTTTGGAGATTTGGGGTGAGAGGAATAACCTTGGGAGGCGTGTTATTGCATGCAATTACGGGGAAGGAAATGGAAAATTGTCCTATAATTCCCTATAAATAGAGAGTTTCTGTCTAAGAACAAAACATATACATAGGCATATACAAGATAATTGGAAATGTCACGACTCTTATGTTTTTAAAGGGTAAATTTATTTGAAGTTTCTCATAATTTCAACTTTTCATGTGTTAAATTAACAGTGACCTCAGTTATTAAACAGTTTTTAAGTGGACTTGTTGTAAAATATTGTTTTGCATTTTGTCATTAACTCTAAAAAATATATATTTAATTTACTGAAAAGATTAAGAACAGGATTAATATTTTTAATTTTCATTTGTTGTCATTAGAAAATTTTCTTGTTGGCTAAAGTGAAACCCCTATTGGAGTGGAAGTATTTTATCACCAACATGTTTTGGTTTCGGAATAAATCACAGTACAACAAAAAAATATTATCTCTGCTTTGTATACACGGTAAAAAAATAAAAAAACAGAAGGATATATATTCGATTATGCATCCAAGTGATAGGTCATTGGTTCTATTAGTCAAGTCCTTGATTAATTACCCTTGAAGAGAAAACCAAACATTTATTTAGTATAGAATTATTAGATATTCCAAAGTAACATGAAAGTCCAAAGACCTAGCCTGAGAAACAAAAAGACTCCATTAAATTCAAGCCCTCAACTAAACAAAAAAAGATTTCAATCTCCCCAACTAATTAAACAATAAAAGAAGTAGCTAGCCCTTTATTTGTGCATGTTCTCAGTGCATGCCTACGCTCCATGAATACTTGGTGCTTGCACAACTTTAGCGCAATAGTCCTTAATCAATGCTGAAAATTCAGGTAGAAAGGGAAACAGTCTAGGCCAGCAACCGTCCACAATTTTAGAGATGTCCTCAAAACATTCTGTGATTAGACTGGTGAACTGGCCTTTGAGAAGAGCCTCATGAATATCTGTTATACACCCATTAATCTTTGTTATAGATGACCAGCAACTCAGTAGTTCCTTGTTTGACCATCTGGGTGGTAGTACCCCTGGACCACCATAAAACACTCTAGACTCACTCGGTGGATAGACTAGTGTTGTTGGTTCAGAAGTTGCCATGCAAGCAACCATTGAGATATATTAGCATTGAGATATATAGTTTTGCCACCATAGTTGTGTATATTCTAGCAGATTAGTAGAACTACATGTAATGTTGTAAGTGAAAGTTCTGAGAGGCTTGTGGGGAGGGGTTCTGTGTTGTGGGGGAGAGAGAGGTGGGGGTGGGATTTATAGTGAGTTCAGAGAATAACATGCAAATTAAAATCGAAACACTTGATTTTACTAAGGTTTTTTTAATTTAATTAAGATGGTATTAATTAAATGAAAGTAACAACAAATTGAAGGTTTAATTAGAATTGTAACATTTGATGTTACTAAGGTTTTTTAACTTTAATTAAGATGATGTTAATTAAATGAAAGTAACAGCAAAAAGTCTATTAAGTCATGACATGGACTAGCTCAGTAAATCAAAGTTCACAAATTCATCTTTTACAAGGACCAGTGCTATTCATGGAATTATATTATGTCGATAACTATCCCCAAAATTTTACTATACTAACAACAAAATAAGCTCCTCATGTCATATGGTTAGAGCCTTGTATTTACACATTGGTCCCTGACCCAAAAAAAAGAGAGACGATTGAGTTAGCATCTTGGTAGCCAACATAGAAGTTTTGTAAGGTGTATATGTGAACATGAGTTTTTAAAATCAAAAGTAGGGTCTAACCTTTTCTTTTTCTTTCTTTTCCCAAATGAAGGGTGTCCCCACTCATTGGAGGACAGTACTAATCCCTTCAAATACCCGCAATCATCAACCACAACACGGGTACCAGGTAAGCTTAGGACGAAGACTTGACACCCCAGGAGTTGAATGCAACACCTCTAGGTGTGTATTACCCAGTTAACCCAATAATAATAATAGTAGTAGTAGTAGTAATTAGCATTAGGGGAGTGAACCCGGATTCTCTCATGTGCCATTTCATCACGTGTCATTACATCGCTTATGCAACAATTTCACATCACTTATGCAACAACTACGTTACATTGCTTATGCAACAACTTCTTTTTCATGTATATATCAGGATCCCTTTCATGGGAGGGGGTACGGATTCCAGGGTATAATACTTGCGATGTAAAAAAGTAAAAATAAAATACTACTTATGATCTTAAAAAATAAAATAAAAAATAATGGAACTTCTGTTACTAGTCAACTCAAACCACAGCTCTAGCAGCAAAATTGACATAATCAACTTGTACAATCATCTAATCAATAACCCATGAACCAAGCATGACAGAAAATTATATGTCAAATTACATTAGTCAACAATTTTTCAAGAACCGTTATTATTAGCATTGTTCGGGCAGATTATTGAATGTGTGCATGAATCTATCTTATATCGCAAATGGCTTATGAGAGTGCGTGTAAGAGAAAAACTAAACAACTTTTGTCCCTTCAGAATTATGAACATCTTTCTAGCCAAAGGGTGAAAAGCCTGTTTTAAATTGTCAAGTTGCAAACAATTAGTTACCCCATTAACCAAACAAAATATGAAGCTTCAATCGATGAAAAGCCAGATCAATAGTAAAGATTAAAAGAAGAAAATTGAAACCTTGATTGAATAAGACAGAGATCGAAGGGACTTACCGGAAAATTTAGATGCAGGGACTTTCCGGTGGACTAGAACCCTTAGAATTGGGGGCTTTCTGAAATTAGGGGAAAGAAGAGAGTAATCGGGCAAGGGCGTGCTTGGAAAAGTAGTATTAAAAATCGGTCTAGAGTTGGAAACAATAAATATTAATAATAGCGATTTGATGTTACTAAGGTTTTATAAATTTAATTAAGATGATGTTAATTAAATGAAAGTAACAGCAAAAAGTCTATTAAGTCATGACATGGACTAGCTCAGTAAATCAAAGTCCTACAAATTCATCTTTTACAATGACCAGTGCTATTCATGGAATTATATTATGTCAATAACCATCCCCAAAATTTTACTATACTAACAACAAAATAAGCTCCGCATGTGGCATGTTTGCCATGTCTTTACGCATTTGTCCCAGACCCCAAAAAAAGAGACGATTGACGTATCTTGACAGCCAACATAAAATTTTTGTAAGGTGTACCGTGTATATATGAACATTAGTTGTTAACAACAAAGAAGGGTCTAACCTTTTCTTTTCCTTTCTTTTATTTTTTTATTTTTTTTATTTTTATCCAAATGAAAGGGTATCCACACTCATTTGAGGACAATACTAATCCCTTCTGACACCCGCAATCATCAACCACAAGGGTACCAGGTAAGCTTAGGAAGAAGACTTGACACCCCAGGAGTTGAATGCAACACCTCTAGGTTCCTATTACCAAGTTAACCCAATAGTAATAGTAATAATAATAATAATAGTAACTAAGTTAGCATTAGGGTAGTGAACCGGATACTCTCCTATGTTATTTCATCATGTGTCATTACATCGCTTATGCAACATTTCACAGCATTTATGCAACAACTGCGTTGCATCGCTTATGCAAAAACTTCTTTTTCATGATATCCGATCCCTTCCACCAGAAGGGGTCCGGTTTTCAAAGTATAGTAAAAAATTAAAATTAAATAATACCTGTAATGTTAAAAAAAAAAAATAAATAAAAAAAAATAAAAAATAAAAAACCTACAATGGAATTTCTGTAACTAATCAACTCAAACCAAACCACAGCTAAGCAGCAAAATTGACATAATCAACGTGTACGATCATCTAATCAATAACCCATGAACCAAGCACGACTAAAAACTATATGTCAAATTACATTAGCCAACAATTTTTCAAAAACCATTATTATTAAATAACATTGTTCGGGCATATTATTGAATGTGTACTTGAATCGATGTTATATCGCAAATGGCTATGAAAAGCAATATCAATAGTAAAGATTAAAGGAAGAAAATTGAAACCTTGATTGAATAAGACAGAGATTGAAGGAACTTACCGGAAATTTTTGATGCAGGGACTTTCCGGTGGACTAGAACCCTAGAATTGGGGGCTTTCTGAAATTAGGGGAAAGAAGAGAGTAATCGGCTAAATGAGAGGCAAGGGCGTGCCTGGAAAAGTAGTATAAGAAATAGGGCTAGGGTTGGAAACGACAAATATTAATAATAACAATTTGGTGGGGGTTGTTTTGTAATTTGGAGAAAATAAGAACACTCGTGTAATGAAATGCTAACTTTTATTTTTTATTTTTAAGTAGGGCAATGTGAGATCATTTTTTAAAAAATGTACACTATTATAAAAAGTGTAGTGTTTAGACCCGCTTTTTATTTTTTTCCTTATGAAGTTTTATTTTTAATTTTTATTTCTCTTCATCTTCTCTAAATGCCATTTTTAAAGCAAAAATTACTAACTTACGGAAAAAATAATAATAGTAATTAGGCAAAAAAATTAATTTTGACAAGGACATGATCATAAAATTTTGACAAGGACACGTTTCTAGGCATGTCATTACTTTACCATTATGCTACAATAAGACCAGGAATGATAAATTTATTACTTTTTATATAATAAGGATGAACATAAAAATAAAGAAATACATCCACGAAACAGGATATATATATGTTATTACATATATATTAAGTATGAACATAAATCACACACGCACAAATAAATAAATGTATATGTATGTTTTTACATATGTAAGTAATGTACTAATGATGGTGTTGTAATTTCAAAAGCAAATGGTATAATTGGAAATGAACTCTTCCTATGTTATTAAAAGGTAAATTTATTTGAAATTTCTCATAATTTCTATATTTCATGTGCATTAAATTGACTGTCACCTCAGTTATGGTTTTGAAGTGGTCTTATTGTAGTGTTTTATTTCGTTATTTTGTCTTTAATTCTAAATATTTGTCTTTAATTCTAAATATACATTTTAAAATTTACTGAAAAGATTAAGGACAGGATTAATAATTTTAATTTCATAAGAAAACTTTTTTGTTGGCTAAAGTAAAACATTTATTGGAGTGAAAGTATTTTATCACCCATATATTTTTGTTTCCAAATAAATCACAGTATAACAATTTTTTTTTATTTTTTTTGGCTCCATGTGCATAAAAAGTAGAGACCAAACATTTATTTAGTACCGAATTATTAAATATTCCAAAATAACATGAAAATTTCCCAAAGCTAGCATGAGACAAAAGGACTCTATTACCAAGTACTTTCTCGCCATAAAATTCAAGCCCTCAACTGAACAAGAAAAGATTTCAATCCTCTCAACTAATTAAACAATAGAAGAAATAGCTAACTCTTTATTTGTGCATCTTCACAAAGCATGCTTACACTCCATTAACGGTTGGCGGTGCTTGCACAACTTTAGCACAGTAATCCTTGACCAATGATGAAAATTCAGGCAGAAAGGAAGCAGTCTAGACCAGCAACTATCAACAATTTTAGAAATGTCCTCACAACATTCTGCTCCTAGACTTGTAAACTGACCTTTGAGAAGAGCCTCATGAATATCTATTATACACCCATTAATCTTTACTATAAATGACTAACAACTCACTATCTCCTTATTTGGCCATGATCTAGGTGATAGTAGCCCTGGACTATCGTAAAACGATGTAGGCTCATTCTGTGGAATGACTAATGTAGAAGTTGTCATGCAAACAAACATTGATAATATAAGCAGTGAGATATATAATTTTGCCACCACGGTTGTGTATAATATAGGAGAATAGTAGAACTACAAGTATAATTATAAGTGAAAGTTGTGAGAGGTTTGTGGAGAGGGGTTGTGTTGTGAAGTAGAGAAAGGTGGGTTTTATAGTGAATTTAGAGAGCGAGAGAGAGAAAGGTGCAATTTAGAATTGAAACGTTTAATGTTACTAAGGTTTAAAAAAATTAATTAAGACTTTTAATTAAATGAAAGTAACTACAAATTGAAGGTTTAATGAAATTTGGTGTTAACCTCCAGGGAAAAAAAAGTGTTTGAATGCAGGTTTTTACCTTAAATGCTTGAGGTAAATGGTACCAATGGTTGGCAAGAGGTATTTTTAAGGACCAGAATACATATATATATATATAAAGGAAAATTATAGAAGATTGATATTCTAACCTATTCAAAATGTGTTCACCCTTAATTGAAATACTTTGAGAAGAGAAACTCTATTTTTTTATTCACTGTTGACTAAGAATTCTTGTTAAACACCCGTTATTCCCCCAGTTATAGCATTACTCAAATAGAAATACTCCGTAGTTGCTAAACGAACCAGATTAACACAATGAAACTGAATCGGGTCCTTGACCTCCATGGACAAATTCGTAAAATCATTTACATGGAATGGTATAGTATTGAACTTAGTTACACAATTCGTCCAAAGAGGTTCCGCTCTCAAATTCTGCACAAATTCTGCATGCGAATTTGCGATTTAGGAGCGAATTCGCACAAAATCCACAAATTCAATTTTTGCAATTCGCAAATTTGTTTTTCTAATTTGTGATTTTCATACAAATTCACTTTATACAGCTAAATTTGTTAGAGTCCTAATGATATGAAACACCTATATTACCATATATGCATTTATTATTTACACTATTACTCAATATATACATTAAATACTTAAACTTCATGTGTGCCCTGATGCATGGCATTGCTATACTACCACACACACACACACACACATATATTAATTATACATGTTTGAAAATATACTACTAAAAAACTTTACAATTGGAGAATATTACAAATAAATCACGCATTTATTAGTGAGAAAAGTTAGCTTATTTATTACATTTATCATTAATGAAATAAATAATAATAAATATATAGCATATGGAATTAAAAAAATAAAAAAATATAGAATATATATATTATGACCTGATATAATTTTATTTAAACTTAATATACAGACGGTTCTGTTTTCAAAAATTTTAGACTTTGATGTTTTCGTGCTCTCACACTCACTCACACAGACACTCCTCCCGCTCTGTGTGACTTGGGTACTACTGAAATAATGGCAAGGGCGTGCATGGAAAACTAGTATTAGATTTTGGGATCGGGTTGGAAACAACATATATTAATACTAACGATTTGGAGGGGACAGTTTTGTAATTTGCAGAACTTAAAAAACACTCCATGTTATGAAATTACTGTAACTTTTCTTTTTATTATTATTATTATTTTATGCCAATATGATATATATATATATATATATATATATATATTTAAATAAAATTTTGAAAATTGTATAGTATATTGTAAAAAGTTGAGTGTTCAGACTGCCTTTATAATTTTTTTTTTTTTTCGTATGAAGCTTCTCTATTTTTTTCATCTTCTCTAATGTCAATTTTAAAGCAAAAACAAATTAATTTTAATAAGGACATGATCATAAAATTTAAATTTATAAATTTTTATACACTAAGGATGAACATAAAAAATAATAATAATAAAAAATAAACACAAACACAAACACACACGCACAAAATAACATATGGAGTATATATTTTTACATATATAATAAGGACGAATATAAAACACACACACACAAACACAATATAAATAAATAAATTGATATCTATGTTCTTACATATGTAAGTAATGGTAGTGTTGTAATTTCAGCCAATGGGACAATTGGAAATTTCATGACTCCTCTGTGTTAAAGGGTAAATTTATTTGAAATTTCTCATAATTTTGACATTTCATGTGTTTTAAATTGACAGAGACCTCTTTATTGGAAATATCATGACTCTTACTGGTTAAATTTGTATTTTATATTGACAATGACCTCACATACAGTTATGAAGTGATCTTATTGTAGTATATTATTTTATCATTTCGTCTTTAACTATGAGACATATTTTTTTTTAAAAATAAAATTTTTAAAATTGTACAATATTGTAAAATGTGGATTGTTCAGACTGCCTTTTTTTAAAAAAAAATTCCTTATGAAGCTTCTCTATTTTTTCCATCTTCTCTAATGTCAATTTTAAAGCAAAAACAAATTAATTTTGACAAGGACATGATCATAAAATTTAAATTTATAAATTTTTATACACTAGGGATGAACATAAAAATAATAATAATAATAAATAAATAACACAAACACACACAAAATTATATACGGAGTATATATTTTTACATATATATTAAGGATGAACATAAAACACACGCACACAAACACTAAATAAATAAATAAATTGATATATATGTTCTTACATATTTAAGTAATGGTAGTATTGTAATTTCAAAAGTCAATGGGACAATTGGAAATGTCATGACTCTTATGTTATTAAATGGTAAATTTATTTGAGTTTATCGTAATTTTGACATTTTATGTGTTTTAAATTGACAGTTACCTCTCGATTGGAAATGTCATCACTCCTATGTTATTACAGGGTAAATTTATTTGAGGTTTCTCATGATTTTGATATTTCACGTGTTTTATATTGACAATGACCTCACTTACAGATTTTTTTTTTTTTTTTTTTTTTTTTCAAGGTCACTTACAGTTATGAAATGATCTTATTGTAGTACAGATTTTTTTTTTTTTTTTCAAGGTCACTTACAGTTATGAAATGATCTTATTGTAATATACTATTTTATCATTTCGTCTTTAACTATAAATATATTTTTAAATTTTACTGAAAAAAGATTAAAGACAAGATTAATAAATTTAATTTTCACATGTTGTCACAACAAAACTTTCTTGTTGACTAAAGTGAAACATTTATTAGAGCAAAAGTATTTTATCACCCACAGGTTTTTGTTTCCAAATAAATCACAATATAACAAAAAATTATTTTTTGGCTTCAGGAATATAAAAAGTAGAGAGAAAAGTTTAAAAACCCAAACATTTATTTAGTATCAAATTATTAGATATTCCAAATAACATGAAAATTTCCTAAAAGCTAGCCTGAGAAACAAAAAGGCTTTATTACCAAGTACTTTCAAGCCCTCAACTAAACAAGAAAAGATTTCAATTCTCTCAACTAATTAAACAGTAGAAGAAATAGCTAGCTCTTTATTTGTGCATGTTCACAATGCATGCTTACACTCCCTTAACGGTTGTTGGTGCTTGCGCAACTTTAGCACAGTAATCCTTGATCAATGCTGAAAATT